CTGTCAGTCTTCACCAGAGGCCCCATTCAGCCTACCCCGACATACTTCATTCATTCTAAGATACACATTCCGCCCCCCACATTCCACATTTTAACATCTCTGAAATTAGGATGTCTTTGACAATTGAGAGTATATCATATTTTGATTGGCGGAGTTTTTTATTTATTTATTTTTGAGACAGAATCTCGCTCTGTGGCCTAGGGTGGAGTGCAGTGGCACCATCTTGGCTCACTACAACCTCCGCCTCCCAGGTTCATGTGATTTTCCTGCCTCAGCCTCCTGAGTAGTTGTGATTACAGGCACATGCCACCATGCCCAGCTAATTTTTTTGTATTTTTAGTAGAGATGGGGTTTTGCCATGTTGGCCAGTCTGTTCTGGAACTCCTGACCTCAGGTGATCTGCCCGCCTTGGCCTCCCAAAGTGCCGGGATTACAGGCGTGAGCCACCGTGCCGGCTTTTTTTTTCTTTCTTAGTGGTACCTAGACTAACGACATCTTAGGTCCTATAAAATAGTGTGAATAAAAAGTAGTTCCCAGGCCAGGCACAGTGGCTCTTGCCTGTAATCCCAGCACTTTGGGAGGCTGTTGGGATCAAGCTCCCCAAAATCTGGCCATAAACTGGCCCCAAAACTGGCCATAAACAAAATCTCTGCAGCAATGTAAAATGTCCATAATGGCCATAACGTCCAAGCTGGAAGGTTGTGGGTTTACAGGAATGAGGGCAAGGAACAGTTTCCGCCCAGGGCGGAAAACTGCTTAAAGGCATTCTTAAGCCACAAACAAAAGCCTGAGTGATCTGTGTCTTAAGTGCATGTTCCAGCTGCAATTAATTCGGCCCATCCCTTTGTTTCCCTTAAGAGATACTTTTGGTTAATTTAGTATCTATAGAGACAGTGCTAATGACTGGTTTGCTGTTAATAAATATGTGGGTAAATCTTTGTTCGGAGATTTCAGCTCTGAAGGCTGTGAGACCCCTGATTTCCGACTTCGCACCTCTATTTCTGTGTGCGTGTCTTTAATTCCTCTAGGGACACTGGGTAGGGTCTCCCCGACCGAGCTGGTCTCGGCAGAAGGCCAAGGTGGGTGGATCGCTTGAGTTCAGGAATTGAAGACCAGCCTGGGCAACATGGCGAAACCCCATCTCTACCAAAAATACAAAAATTAGCTAGGCATGGTGGTGTGCACCTGTATTCCCAGCTACTTGGTAGGCTGAGGTGGGAGGATGACTTGAGCCTGGGAGTTGGAGGTTGCAGTGAGCCGAGATCACGCCACAGTACTCAAGCCTGGGCGACAGAGCCAGACTGTCCCAAAACAAAAACAAAAACAAAAACAAAAACACCAGTTCCCTTTCCAACCACATGGCTGTCCCTATGCCCATCCTACCTAGAAATTCTGCATTCAGGCTTCCTCACATTTATCTTCTCGAGACTAAGGAAAGCTGAATTTGTAAAACAGAGTTCAGACACAAAATGTGATGCTGAACACCATTGTTTTTTTGTCAGAAGTTATTCCTTTAGCCAAATATGGGTCTATGTAGTATGTGTTTTACCAGAGATCAAATATCTGTTAATCCGTGGTGGCTCACGCCTGTAATCCCAGCACTTTGGGAGGCCGAGGCAGGCGGATTGCTGGAGTCCAGGAGTTTGAGATCAGCCTGGGCTACATGGCGAAACTCCATCTCTACACAAAAATACAAAAATTAGCTGGACATGGTGGCGTGCGCCTGTAGTGCCAGTCACTGAGGTTGGGAGATGGGGGCGGTGCCAGGCTGAGGTGGGAGGATCCCTCCAGCCTGAGCGTCAGAGTGAGACCCTGTCACAAAAAAGAAAAAAGGAAACAAAACAAAACAAAACAAAACAAAACAACAACAACTGTGTTAATCATTCAAATTGTTTAGAACCAGATCGTAGCTCTAAGCCAAGGAGCCAGTTCAGGAACTCCAGGAGCACAGAGACCATCCAGCTGACCCAAACAATGCCAAGTTTTTAAGACCTGTCAGTTAAAACTTTTCCGCCATGCATTCAGGGTACTGGTGGTCTGAAAACAATGAAGGCATCAACTGCAGCGTCCCCAACACCTCCTGCATTCTGGAACCCTGCCCCTTCTGACAAAGAACGCATTCACTGCAAAGAGGGCCTGCGTGCGGGGAGGGTTCGGGACTGGTTTCTAAATGTGGTCAGGTGGTCTGTGCGCTAGTGTTGCGCGCTGGACAGATCCAAGGGCAGTGGAGGGGCCGTTCCCCATGTCCCCATTAAGACCGAGATCACTTGTCCCTCAACACTAGACCCGACGAAGGTTAAGACACAGGGGTAACGATACGGGCGAGGGTGGGCAGGGGGCCCGGGAAAAAGGGGTTGGCGATGGGTCGTTCAAAGTTTGGCACATCGCTTTCATCCATAGGTAAATAGCCCTCAGTTGAGATCCATTCCTTCCCGCGCGGGTCGGGGGCCTCCAACGTAACAGAGACAGCGCCCGGGTCTGAAAGCCGACAATGGCCTTGGGGCAAGGGGTCCTGGACACTGGATCTCTTACCAGCGGCTCCAGCGGGGTCCTTGTCAAGGTGCTGTCCTTGTTCTCCCCTTCCTCTTCTTGTCCCTTAAATTGTTCCTTCTCTTTCTTTGTCTCCTTCCCTTGCTTTGTCCTTTTTTCCTCTTTCTCTTTTCTCTTTCTCCTCTCCTGCTTCTCTTGCTTCTCCTTTTCTTTTTCTTTAATTTTCTGCTCCACCTCCTTTCTTTTCACTTTCTCTTCCTTTCCCTTTTCTCTGATTTTCTCCTTCTCCGTCTCCTTTTCCTTCTCTTTCTTCTTCACTTTCCCCCTCTCCATCCCCAGCGCCGCGGTTTCCTTCCCTCCCGCCGCGTGCCCGCGTGCTGAGCGGTGGCTCTGGGCCCCAGGTGTGGCTCCCAAGGTGCACGCCCGACGGAGACGTAGGCCCCGCGGCGTAGACAACCCGCGGGAGCCGCCAACCCCGGCAGCGCCGCCAACACCCGCTCACCCGGCGGATGCAGGGCTTCTTGCAGCGGATTCGCTGAACCCGCAGGGGCACGCAAAGAGGGAAGGGCGGAGGCGTACGGGATGGGTTGAGCCCAGCCAAGCGAAACCAAGAGGTCCCAACCAGGACGCGGACAGCTCGGCGGGGTATGTATCATTGCTGCAGAAAAAGCGTCCCTTGCGCGATTCCCTCGGGCCGGGCAGGGTGGCTGAGGAGAGCCTTCCACGCGGGCCGCAACCTAAGCAACCTTAGCGTCTGACGTCCCCGGCTTCAATCCCGAGCCCGGCCAGCCTACGCGAAGAACCCCTGGGGCGCCAGAGTCCAAAGGTTCCGGGGAGGATTCTCAGCGTTTCGCCAGCTGTCAACCACGAGCCTGTACTGCTCATGTCGTGTATTTCTCCGCCCTCTCCCGAGTAAACTCCTCTAGGAGTGTCTCCAGACTACTACCCAGGATTATTAAAGACAGATAGAAGAACGTGAATGGGTTCCATTGTTTTAAGTTCCTTTTTTTTTTTGAGTCTGTCACTAAGGCTGGAGCGTAGTAGTGCGATCTCAGCTCGCTGCAACCTCCAGCCTCCCGGATTTAAGCGATTCTCCTGCCTCAGCCTCCCAAATAGCTGGGATTACAGGTGTGAACCACCACGCCCGGCTAATTTTTCTATTTTTAGTAGAGACGGGGTTTTACCACGTTGCCCAGACTGGTTTCGAACTCCTGACCTCAAGTGATCCACCCGCCTCGGCCTCCCAAAGTGCTGGGATTACAGGCATGAGTCAGCGTGCCCGGCTTGTATTTCGCTTTTTAAAAAATTATTCGGAGATAGCCTGCAAGAATCACAGCTGCTAGTAATGCTCAGTATTAAAACTAAAACCTAATGATCTAGTCACTCCTAATTATCTAATAAATGGTAAATAAGGCACACGAGGTGGTTTTCAAAGGTGGTATTGTTTCTCAAACTGACTAAGAAATATCTGGAGGGTTCCTTTTATCTTGCTAAACTGAACTCTTCAGTATATTTCAGTTTAGCACAATTACTTATTTATTTTTTGAGACAGTCTCACTCTGTCTGCCAGGCTGGAGTGCAGTGGCACGATCTTGGCTCACTGCAACTTCCACCTCCCAGGTTCAAGCAATTCTCCTGCCTCAGCCTCCCGAGGAGGTAGGATTACAGGCGTGTGCCATCACGCCCAGCTAATTTTTGTATTTAGTAGAGATGGGGTTTCACCATGTTGGCCAGGCTGGTCTCGAACTCCTGACTTCGGGTAATCTGCCCACCTCGGCCTCCCAAAGTGCTGGGATTACAGGCGTGAGCCACCGCACCTGTCCAGCACAATTATTATTATTTTTTGAGACAGAGTTTCACTCTTGTTGCCCAGGCTGGAGTGCAATGGCATGATCTCGGCTCACTGCAACCTCTGCCTCCCAGGTTCAAGTGAGTCTCCTGCTTCAGGCTCCCGAGTAGCTGGGATTACAGGCATGAGCCACCATGCCCGGCTAATTTTGTATTTTTAGTAGAGACGGGGTTTCTTCATGTTGGTCAGGTTGGTCTCGAACTTCCGACCTCAGGTGATCTGCCCGTCTCGGCCTCCCAAAGTGCTGGGATTACAGGTGCGAGCCACTGTGCCCGGCCACAATTATTTTTTAATGCAATAAACTTATTTTCCTTCATTGTATCTGTTTCAAATAGACTTGTAAGGAACAATGAATGGCAGGTTCCAGAAGGTTTGAGTGATGCAATGATTTTTAAGGTTGGCTGTTCCCAATAGCATTGGAATTGCTATGCTTAATCACTTTTTCAAAGGTTTACTTCTGTTTATACACACACTAAGATGAATTTTCAGTAAGTTTACACTGAAACTTACCGAATCTCTCAATCCCATTAGATTAGTTTTGTGAGTTTACTAAGAGGGACAGTACACACAATTTTGATACTCAGCTTAAAAGAAAATTCTTGGTTATACTAACCAGGAAGTCCTCCATAAAATGCCAACACCCAAAACACCTTAATCCATATTCACTGCTAAAATATTTTATTTTAAAATGTACCACAGTGAATGGATGTATCCATACTGGTTTTTATAAATGTACACATACACATCCATATATTTGACAAAGTATATATATGTACTGGTTAAAGACCTATCCAAAAGAGGAAATATTTCTAGAAGGTTCATGTATTTATACTTCATTTGACAATTAAAACTTTATTTGAACAGAAGTTTCAGTTGCTCAGCAATGACTAATGCTATCAATAATGACAACTAAATTGAGAACTGTAAATTTCACTGCTGTGCCTTGGGTTAAAATTTTCAATGATGGAATCCTAAATAAGTAACAGTTATTCCTATAATGGGGTATATATTCAGAAGTAATAAATATCTGTCACTATTACCAAAAGACTGTTCTCTGTAGAGCTCAAAAAAGTATTATGCCACAATACATCAATTGTATTTAAAAAGGATCTCTTGTTTAGATGCCACTGCAGATTCTGCTTTTACTGAACAGAAAGGCAGCACCCCATTTCTTTCTTGTAAAGGAGGAAAGTCTTTTATAAAAAAACTCTTTGAAGAAGTTTTGGTAGTTACGTTCAGAGTCAAACACAGCAGCACTTTATTAACAAGGACAGAGTAATATAATCACAAGGAAATACTTCTAAGTCTAAATTAAATGATATATTGGGCAGCATAAAATGAATACTAACAAGGGCAGGCATCTCAATGTGTCTGTCTCACAGCTGTTCAATGTGAAAGCAGTTTGTAAGCAAGGAAAGACAAGAGCAACATTTACACCACAAATTGACTGTAAAATATTTCATTACATTGAGAAAGGTAATCAATGGTCAAAATCCATAACCAGAAGGAGACACCATTTGAGTATCTATCAATGGGCCAAACAGGATCTGTCAGATTTTAATACTGCCTGGTATGCAAACTCAGATACTGATTTCCTCTCTATGTAGGAAACCAATGTTCATGTTCTTGATAATAGTCATTAATCTTTCTGATTGAGACAGTCCAAACCCATCTGACCTCAGAACACTAGGTCTAAGAGTCAACTTCTTACATTGATATATTTTCCTTGAGTTCTTTCCTGGTGCTGTATCAGCATGTTACATAATCTGAAAATGACATGGGGCACAAAGGAGTCATATATATATATAAAAATATGAAAATAATCCCATATTCCAGTATCACATGACAGAAAATTTATGGTTAAATTATTTAAGACATTTACTTTATTTTTCTTGTGGCCATCCATTTAATTAAGTGAAGAACATCAGTGTATTAAGAAGGTCCCTCTTTATCACATGATATTTCTAAGCAGATATTTAGGAATGCTCAGAAGATTCCACTTTCAGTCTCCTAAGGCCTCCTAAGACATAATTTAAAGTGGGACTTGAACAGAAACAAGTATCTTCAGACTCCAGCTGAAATCGTAGAAATAGTTTCTGTTTAAATCCTGGGAAACCTTAGATAAGGTATGTGAAACTGAAAAAAGATTGAATCAGCACACACAGATAAAGGATACAACAGATACCAAGATGGGTAAATGCCCAATTATTTTCAGTCCTCATAATCTGTACAAAGCTATGAGGCAACCAGTAGGCCACATCTCACTAGGTAGACTTTGAGGAAGATGTTTCCCTATTTGAAACACAAGAAATTATGAAAATATGGAGATGAAGAGGGAGCAGTTCTGTGCTTCTTGCTGTGTTACCTTTATTATATTCCTAGTGTCACTGAGACTAGTTTAAAAACAGCCTGCAACAAGAATATTCTCATCACCAGCCACCTTTTCCACCTTTCTTCTTTTTCTGTTGCTGTTTCTTTTTTGTTGCTGGAGCCCCTGCAGGTTTCTGGTGTCTTGGGGGTATGATGTTACTTGTAGAGGCAGATACTGTTGCAGCACTGCCAGGTCTTGGGGAGGTGGGTGGGCTGCTCACAGTTTTACTGGCATCCCTGAAATCATTAGATCAGATCATTTTTGGTCACTCATATATTCAACAAAGGGAGAGTATAAAAATGTATGTATATAGGTTTTACTTATCACACTTAACATTTTCTACTTCTTTTAAGGTAAGCTCCCCAACTCCCTACTGACTTTTCTTTTGAATAACATTTTTACTGTTTTTATTGAAGAAAAGTAAAACATGATACACATGCCAATTTTTAGAAAGCATAGAAAATAAAAAATTTTATTTTTTTGAGACAAGAGTCTTGCTCTGTCCCTCAGGCTGGAGTGCAGTGGTGCCCAGGCTGGAGAGGAGTGGCGCCATCTCAGCTCACTGCAACCTCTGCCTCCTGGGTTCATGTGATCCTTCTGGGTTCATGTGATTCTCCTGCCTCAGCCTCCCAAGTAGCTGGAATTACAGGTGCGCACTACCACACCAGGCTAATTTTTGTATTTTTCATAGAGACAGGGTTTCACCATGTTGGCCAGGCTGGTCTTGAACTTGTAACCTCAGGTGATTTGCCTGCCTTGGCCTCCCAAAGTGCTGGGATTACAGGCGTGAGCCACCACACCTGGCCAGAAAAAATATTTTAAAAATAACCTCTCATCTACCATACAGAACATATTAACATTTCTAACACTTCTTTCTAGTCATATTATTTATTTACATCTGTTTATCTAGGCATTTATTTAGTTGAATGACTCAGTGTATTTAGTTGCCTTTTGAGACTTTTCTTTAGTTTTTATAATACAAATAGTTTTTACTATATATATTTCACAATATATATTTGATTATATTGTAAATACTTAAAACTATCTGACTGTATTGTAAAAACTAAAGGAAAAACTAGTCTAAAAAGGCAATATATTTTCTTTCATTTACATAAGTGTAGTATAAACATTTATCAAAGATACATCACTACATTTCTCATACTTAACATATATTAAATTCTCACTAGTAGCCTTGAGTCAATCTCAGAAACAATGTATGTTCTAAGTGTCCTCAATTGTGGAGCAATAACTTACAGTTCAGATGAAGCTCCTGCAGTTGCTCCCTGGGTCCCTTTTCCAATCTGATCCTTCTTTTTACCCTTCTTTCTTCCCCGGTAGTAAGAACGTTCTCGCATTGGCAGCCATCTTTCTGGATCTGGGGTGACTTTTGGGTCATAATTCTTAGGCAATTTTCCTGCATAACAATTATAAAGAGAGATGTATCATAATATTTTTGAGATAGTTTGATTTAAACAATGTCTCTAAGCCTGGGAATAAATAACATTAAAATGGAAATGAATTTATTTGAGAAAGTTTAATTTGTATAATCTAGCAGGCAAAATGGCCTTACTTTTTTTTGTTATTATACTGGGATACATGTGCAGAACGTGCAGGTTTGTTACATAGGTATACACGTGCCATGGTTGTTTGCTGCACCCATTAACTGTCATCTACATTAGGTATTTCTCCTAATGCTATCCCTCCCCTCGCCTCCTACCCTGACCCCGCCACAGGCCCGGTATGTGATATTCCCCTGTGTCCACGTGTTCTCATTGTTCAACTCCCACTTGAGTGAGAACATGCAGTGTTTGGTTTTCTGTTCCTGTGTTAGTTTGCTGAGAATGATGGTTTTCAGCTTCATCCATGTCCCTGCAATGGATATGAACTCATCGTTTTTTATGGCTGCATAGTATTCCATGGTATATGTGTACCACATTTTCTCTACCCACTGTATCATTGATGGGCATTTGGGTTGGTTCCAAGTCCTTGCTAATGTGAACAGTGTTGCAATAAACATAAGTGTGCATGTGTCTTTATAATAGAATGACTTATAATCCTTTGGGTATATACCCAGTAATGGGATTGCTGGGTTGAACGGTATTTCTGGTTCTAGGTCCTTGAGGAATTGCCACACTGCCTTCCACAATGGCTAAACTAATTTATAATCCCACCAACAGTATAAAAGTGTTCCTATTTCTCCACATCCTCTCCAGCATCTGTTGTTTCCTCACTTTTTAATGACTGCCATTCTAACTGATGTGAGGTGGTATTTCATTGTGGTTTTGATTTACATTTCTCTAATCACTAGTGATGAGCTTTTCTTCATGTTTCTTGGCCACATAAATGTCTTATTTTGATAAGTGTCTGTTCATATCCTTTGCCCACTTTTTGATGGGGTTATTTGTTTTATTCTTGTAAATTTGTTTGAGTTCTTTGTAGGTTCCAGATATTAGCCTTTTGTCAGATGAGTAGATTGCAAAAATTTTCTCCCATTCTGTAGGCTGCCTGTTCACTCTGATGATAGCTTCTTTTCCTGTGCAGAAGCTCTTTAGTTTAATTAGATCCCATTTGTCAATTCTGGCTTTTGTTGCCATTGCTTTTGCGGTTTTAGTCATGAAGTCCTTGCCTGTGCCTATATCCTGAAGGGTATTGCCTAGGTTTTCTTCTAGGGCTTTTATGGTTTTAGGTCTTAGGTTTAAGTCTTTAATCCATCTTGAGTTAATTTTTGTATAAGGTGTAAAGAAGGGGTCCAATTTGTTTTCTGCATATGGCTAGAATCCTTTCCCCATTGCTTTTGTCAGGTTTGTCAAAGATCAGATGGTTGTAGATAGGTGGCATTATTTCTGAGGCCTCTATTCTGTTCCATTTGTCTACATATCTGTTTTGGTACCAGTGTCATGCTGTTTTGGTTACTGTAGCCTTGTAGTAATAGTTTCAAGTCAGGTAGCATGATGCCTCCAGCTTTGTTCTCTTTGCTTAGGACTCTCTTGGCCATACAGGTTCTTTTTTGGTTCCATATGAAATTTAAAGTAGTTTTTTTCTAATTCTGTGAAGAAAGTCAATGGCAGCTTGATGGGGATAGCACTGAATCTATAAATTACTTCGGGCAGTATGGCCATTTTCACAATATTGATTCTTCCTATCCATAAGCATGCAATATTCTTCCATTTGTCTGTGTCCCCTCTTATTTCCTTAAGCAGTGGTTTGTAGTTCTCCTTGAAGAGGTCCTTCACATCCCTTGTTAGTTGTATTCCTAGGTATTTTATTCTTTTGTAGCAATTGTGAATGGGAGTTCACTCATGATTTGGCTCTCTGCTTGTCTATTATTCGTGTACAGGAATGCTGGTGATTTTTGCACATTGATTTTGTGTCCTGAGACTTTGCTGAAGTTGCCTATCAGCTTACGGAGATTTTCGGCTGAGATGATGGGGTTTTCTAAATAAACAATCATGTCATCTGCAAACAAAGACAATTTTACTTCCTTTTTATTTGAATATCCTTTCTTTCTTTCTCTTGCCTGATGGCCCTGGCCAGAACTTCCAATATTATGTTGAATAGGAGTGGTGGGAGAGGGCATCCTTGTCTTGTGCCGGTTTTCAAAGGGAATGCTTCCAGCTTTTGCTCATTCAGTATGATATTGGCTGTGGGCTTGTCATAAATAGTTCTTATTATTTTGAGATACATTCCATCAATACCTAGTTTATTGAGAGTTTTTAGCATGAAGGGGTGTTGAATTTTATCGAAGGGGGAAAAGGCCTTATTTCTCAGCGTGACAAAAAAATTCAGAGGCCATAAAGAAAAAGACTTCACAGATACATCTATATAAAAATTTTAAAATCTTTATTTAGTAAAAAATATATTTCTAAGAAAAAATTTAAAATACAAAGTATATAATAGAAGAGTGGAAAAAATCCTTAATATAAAAGAATTCTTGCCGATCAATATGTAAATCACTCAAAGAAAAATGGACTCAGTTATAATTAAGGTAGGTCAGGAGAAAGGAAAGTAATTCATCTTCTGAACAGATGTTCACCCTCACTAATTAAAAATGAGAAGGGTAAAAAACTCTTATCACACTCGTAAATATTAAAAGCAGTAATACCTAGTGTTGGTGAAATGGTGAGAAGCACTCACCAACACTATATTAGGAGAAGTGTATACTGGTATAGCCTTTGCGGAGAGCAATTTAATCTGACAGCACCATTAGAAATTTATAGACTTCTAGAAATTTATCGTGCAGAAACCCAAGAGATACAAAGTTAAGAAGAGAATATTCTCTGTGACGCTCTTTTTCTTTTTTTTTTTTAAAGATGGATAGGGCAAGGTATGGGTGGGCTGATATTCTTTAAGACAGTAAAATAACTTAAATGTCTAGCAATGAAGATGACTACATTATAATATGCCCACAGTATAGCAACCTATTCAATTGGGTTAAAAAGTGATGTGCAGGCCAGGCGTAGTGGCTCACACCTGTAATCCCAGCACTTTGGGAGGCCAAGGCCGGCAGATCATGAGGTCAGGAGATCGAGACCATCCTGGCTAACACAGTGAAACCCCGCCTCTACTAAAAATACAAAAAATTAGCTGGGCGTGGTGGCGGGCGCCTGAAGTCCCAGCTACTCGGGAGGCTGACGCAGGAGAATGGCGTGAACCTGGGAGGTGGAGCTTGCAGTGAGCTGAGATCGTGCCACTGCACTCCAGCCTGGGCGACAGAGCGAGAAGCCGTCTCAAAATAAATAAATAAATAAAGTGAAGTGCATCTATTAATCTGGAAAAATGTTCTTCACAATTCAGTCTAAAGTGAAGATTAAAACAAATTATATTATGTTCAACTTTCAGTACCTAATGATATATGTTTGATTCTATATATACATATATACACACACAAAAATGTTAAGTAATTGTCTTTGGAAGCATGTTTTTTTTTGGGATGGGGGGACAGGGTCTCACTCTGTTGCCAGGCTGGAGTGCAGTGGTGTGATCTCAACTCATTGCAACCTCGGCCTCCCGGGTTCAGGCGATTCTCCTACCTCTGCCTCCTGAGTAGCTGGGATTACAGGCACACATGAGTAATGCTCAGCTAATGTTTGTATTTTTAGTAGAGATGGGGTTTCACCATGTTGGTCAGGCTGGTCTCGAACTCCTGACCTCAAATGATCCACCCGCCTTGGCCTCTCAAAGTGCTGGGATTACAGGCGTGAGCCACCATGCCCAGCTGCAAGCATGAATTCTGGGCAGGGAATTTTACACTCTTTATGCCATTCTATAATGATAGGTATCAACTACCTTTGTTTTTAGAATAAGCATACGTCACTTGTAAATTTTAAAAAATATTCATCTGGAAACTATAAAAATAGAAAAGAAAGTAAAATTTTAGGTTATTACCACCTACAGCTATCAGCTGTTTCCTTGCAGTATTACTAATACACAAAACAAATATTAAATGTTTGCCAATTTTCAAGTACTGTGACAAAAGAACCAATAAGACTTCCAGTTAAAGACAGTGAAATGGATACAAACATTAGCTTGTGTACCTTCCTCAAACTCCACTAAAATGGTAATAAAACACATTAAAGGAAGAACAGAAGAAAAGATATTGTCAATAAAATTTTGGTAGCTGGAAAACAGATGGAGGAGTAATAATAAACTTAGCTAAGTCTTGGGAAACCCGTATCCTAAGATGGTAGAGAGCAAAATCAAGAAATAATCTGATTTATATAATAGATTCCTCAAAACCTCAGGAACTTGGGTGGCTCCAAGGATAACATCTGACGAGGTAAAACAAAGCACAGTAATGTCACCCAATTTTTCCAGAGATTAAAGCCACTCCCCAAGCCAATCAATGCACGTTATTTCCCTGGTTAATAATTCAAGGCTGGACACTGACCTACTTGGCCAAATCAGATTAATGAGAAATACTTGCCAAATCTGGAGAGGGCTTCTTTGTTGTGATGAATATAAATGACAAGTATGTGGCCCTGACTGTTTCCAGTATACATTGTATGACTCTAATGGGATTCTGTTTTGTGGACAGCAGAACAAAGAGATAGAAATACTGAGTCAACCAACCTTGATGCTAACATTCCTCTAGACTGCCAACTTTATAAACAGTAAATTTTCTTAAGCTAGTTTGATGGAATTTTGTAGTTATGTGTAGCAGAAACATCATAATGTGTAAGGGCTTACTTTTGTGCCAGGCACCACTCTAAGAACTTTACATGTAGTATCTGATTTAATACTACAAGATATATACTATCATATTCCATTCCACATATGAAAAACTCTGGCAGGTATATTAAATAGCCTGTCCACAGTCAGAGTAAAAGAGGGAACAACAATTTGAATCTAGGCAAACTAGTAAATTGCAATCTTTAAAGTAATAGAATAAAATTAAATGTTAGCTATAGTCAAGATAAAAAGTTTTCAAAGATATAAGAGAGGGCAGTATATTTATGTCCAAATATTTCTATATGGGGCTAAAATCAAACATTTATCTTGTAGAAAATTTATGAAGATTTTTTAATGCCTTACCCTTCTTTTTCTTTTTCTTCTTTTTCAAATCTCCCTGTCTACAAAGAGAAAAAAAAAATCATTACCATCTTTGTGATAAAATATTTATAAAGCATTAAGTAAGCGCTCTGTAAGAGTTAGTTGGGCACTTATCATAAACATGGTTTAAGACTTGGTATCAGCTCACCAAAGCTAACAAACTAGTTAAGATTTGATTCAGGTTAAAGTCCATTAAGCTTCAGATACTATAATTTTTGGAAGGTACTTTAGAAAACAGAGGTGATAATTCGAAAATAGATTGTTTACATTGAAAAATTTTTTTCAGTGGCACACATTAAGTCTATGTAAAAAGTAATTTGCACAAGCATGAATATCTACAATCCCTTGGTAAGTTACTCTATGTTTGGCAAGACTTTAGAGAATAAATTTTTTGCCAGAAGAACACGTGTAGGTCAGATACATGCAAAGAATTATCTCTGGAAGGAGATGCAAAACAAGTTACATTGGTTATGGTCCTGGGAGGGAGGTGGGTAGACACGGATGGAAGACTTTTAACTTACTCTTATACTTTTTTACCTTTCATATTTTAAACCTGTGAGTTTATTAATTTTTTAATGTAAGTAAAATATGTATTAAGTACATTGACCAAAAAAGGCACTAAAAAGGGCATACAAATTAACACTTCAAAATAACTGTCAAGGGCAGGGGGAGGGATAGCATTAGGAGATATACCTAATGTGAATGACGAGTTAATGGATGCAGCACACCAACATGGCTCATGTATACATATGTAACAAACCTGCATGTTGTGCACACATACCCTAGAACTTAAAAGTATAATAATAAAAAAAAAAAATAATAATAATTGTCAAGCATTCTGAAAGTGGCTGGGAACAGTGGCTCACATCTGTAATCCCAGCACTTTGGGAGGCCAAGGCAGGTATCACCTGACGTCAGGAGTTCCCCATCTCTACTAAAAATACAAAAATTAGCTGGATGTGGCAGTGCGTGCCTGTAATCTCAGCTACTCCGGAGGCTGCGGCAGGAGAATTACATGAACCAAGGAGGCAGAGGTTGTAGTGAGCGAGACTGCACCACTGCACTCCAGCCTGGGTGATGGAGCAAGACTCTTATCTCAAAAAAAAAAAACATTCTGAAAGCTCTAGTGAACAGAGAAAAACATAAAAATACATCTCTCTATATATTCTTATGTGATATAACTCAAGAAATATGAAACAGTGAACTAAAGATGAGACAGCAACAATTCATTCTACAAGTCATTCAATTGTGAAAGTTCCCTCATGATACCCCAAACAAGAAATGTAACATGCTGTTATCTTACTTGAGTGTTTCATCTCTTACCCAGAGTGTGCAACAGTATTCTAAATTGTCTCCCTACAAATTAAACTCCACAGCCATACTAAAATTTCCCAACGGTTCTCTGCTCTTTCTTATTTCTCTGCCTTAGCTCACCCTTTGCCTACCTCGTCCTCATCTTCCTCAGAGTCAACACAATCATCTTCTCCATGAAGCCTTTCCTAACTTCCCACTGTCCTCAGGAAGAAGTGACTATTCCCTCCGGTGTACTCCTCTATGCCCTGTACAATCACAGCAGGTGCAATCTTTATTGCAATTATTGTTTAAATATATTTCCTTCTGCTAGACTCATGTTCCTTTTTTTTTTTTTTAAGACGGAGTCTCACTCTGTCACCCAGGCTGAGTGCAGTGGTGCGATCTTGGCTCACTGCAACCTCCACCTCCTGGGTTCAAGTGATTCTCCTGCCTCAGCCTCCCAAGCAGCTGGGAGTACAGGCGTGTGTCACTACGCCTGGCTACTTTTTGTATTTTTAGTAGAGATGGGGTTTCACCATTTGTCCAGGCTGGTTTCGAACTCCTGACCTCAAGTAATCCACCTGCCTCGGCCTCCCAAAGTGCTGGGATTACAGGCATGAGCCACCACGTCAGGGCTCAAGTTCTTTTGAGAGCAAGTGCCATGATTTATTTTCTGATCAACACCTAACGTAAACCTATCACATAGTGTATTGTTAAAAGAAACTAAACCTTTGCATCCAAAAGTTAGTATAACAAAATACTAACTTTTAGTAAGATAAAGAGCACTAGTAATGCCTACTGAAAATACTATTTTTAAACTTAAAAGCTTAAAAATTCAACGTATATCTTAATGACTGTCTAAGAAAAAAGACAAAGTCAGGTGCGGTGGCTCACGCCTGTAATCCCAGCACTTTGGGAGGCTGAGGCGGGTGGATCACCTGAGGTCAGGAGTTTAAGACCAGCCTGACATGGTGAAACCCTGTCTCTACTAAAAATACAAAAATTAGCCAGACGTGGTGGCGGGTGCCTGTAGTCCCAGCTACTCAGGAGGCTGAGGCAGGAGAATCGCTTGAATCCAGGAGGCAGAGGTTGCAGTGAGCTGAGATTGTACCATTGCACTCCAGCCTGGGCAAGACTGTCTCAAAAAAGAAAACAAACAAACAACAACAACAAAAAAGAAAGATTATTTTAAAAAAAACTTTTAAAGATGGGGGTCTTTCTCTGTCACTCAGGCTGGGGTGCAGTGACGCAATCACTGCTCACTGGAGCCTCAAACTCCTGGGCTCAGGCGATCATCCCGCCTCAGCCTCCAAGTAATTGGAACTAGAGTCAAATGCCACTATGCCAGGCTAAAGAAGGAACTGTGTGTTCTTAGTTGTTACCCAACCCTGTCTGGTGAAGAAAAAAAAAAACAGTAAACATACTTAATTGAAAATCCATTTAAGAACTCCAACTGAATTTATAATTGTAAGATGAAATGGAATTTGGAACAATGTAACCTCTTTGAGATTCCAATTCCTTATTAAAAGTTTTGGAAGTTATTATGAGAACGACAATGCTTTTTATGAAATGCAGAGTTTGTTAGGAAGAAATCAGTCACTGTTGCTGAGTTTTTTTTTAAGTTAGGGAAAAATTTAGATTTCAAAAGGCATTCAAAAAAGGAGAAAGTAATAAAAACTTATGAAAGTCACAAAGCTAAGGAAATGTTTTATCTTCTCCATGCTCTATTCATTCTGAGTCAAAAGTAAAATCTTAAAACATTTTACTGTAGGTCTCTAACTATATTTTTAAGATGACAATGGAACAAACAAGAGTCAAAATCTGACTTCTTCTAAGTAAATGAAACCGACTAACCTTTTCTTCAAATCAGCAAAATAAATCATATACTAAATTATGTACTAAATATACAACAATAACTTATAGGTAAAAAAAGGCACATCCAGCCTATAGAGTGTTTAAAAAGGATGAAATATGTCCACATTTTAGTATGTGGAAAGATCTCTAAAACTCATTAAATAAAAGCAAGTTGGAAAACACTAAGTACAGTACAATTTTCCTTCTATAAAAAACAACTGGCTATAGCTCAGCACTTTGGGAGGCCGAGGTGGGTGGATCACTTGAGGTCAGGAGTTCAAGACCAACCTGGCCAACAGGGTAAAACCCTGTCTCTACTAAATATACAAAAATTAGCCTGTAGTCCCAGCTACTCAGGAGGCTGAGGCAGAATTGCTTGAACCTGGAAGGCGGAGGCTGCGGTGAGCCAAGATTGTGCCACTGTACTCCAGCCTGGGAGACAGGAAGACTCTGTCTCAACAAACAAACAAACAAACAAATAAGAAACTAAATAAGAAAAAATAAACTAATCTAAAAAAAATATTCGTAAACCACCTGTGTGTGTAAACACAAAGAAAAATTTCTGGAATAATAGATTAAATTAATACCAGAGGTTAATTTTGGGCTGAGGGAAAAGGGAAGGAAATAAGGACAAAGAGCTGGGCACAGTGAAAGAAATGGAAAAGAAACAAAGAGAACTAGAACTTTATTCATACAAAATTTCTGTAAGAATATATTTTTTATTCTTTGTCTAATTTAAAATCAGCATTAGAGAATGTTACAACGAAAAATATTACCCTTGTTCCTTTGGTTGACTATCTCCAGTAACTTTTCCACCCTTCTTCCGAATGTACGTAGCACCAGGAGAATTTTCAAGAGCCTCAACATCTACTTTTAGAGACATACTATCTGATGATGGCAAGTGTTTACTAAGACTGTGATAGAACAGGAGTTCAGGAACATAATATACACAAACACACACATTTAAAAAAATATGTTTGCCAATATATCTATTGACACTGGAAGACTGTCTTTTCTTGATGACCTTCAACAAAAGCAAAAAATGTTCCTAAATCTTCTATACGATAACAATTACAAGCCATATCAATTATATAGTACACACAGTATTCTGAAAGGAGAACATGAGGAGTCATAATCTAATCCTCTATTCCTTAACTCAGTGATGTGGAGCAAGGTGGTGGCTTAATACAAACTCCATTCCAAAACAACTATCAAGTTTATAACTTGAGACTGCTTAGCATCCACCAACCCACCTCAGTTTTAGGAACACACTCTGATGAGAGTAGCACATATGATCCAAGCTCAATAAGGGCATCGAATTTGCGTATCAAGTAACTATTTGAGATAAGCAAGTCACCTAAGTAGTTGAATCCGAAAATAAGATTTCAGAATCATGCAAAACTACCCACATAAAATACGCTTTTTCTTTTCCTTGCTGCTGAACTTGAACTTGGAGGAAAAGACGCTATATCCTTTTGACTTCATTTTTGCTTCTGGATGAAACTGAACCCTAAGTTGGATCCATTGCCGCATTTTTCATCACACTGATCAACAAATTGTCATTTTTTGGTTTTACTAGTTAAAAGGAGGATTTGTTAGTTGCAATTTACAATGGAAAAAGCTTCAGTCAAAACACATATATTAGAAGCTATTTTTCTATTTTGCAGCCATTGCTTATTTCTAATAACTTAATTTGGATCTGGTATACTGAAAAAAATGAATTTGATAATCTAAATAGTATTTCACTTTTAAAATAGTGACGTGTAATACTTCAGTTTGCCTGAATTTTTTCACTACTACCTCTTTATTTTTATGTAAAAACATGCCCTCATAACATTTTACTCTATTGTGCTACTGAGGAGCTGTAAGGAACAACAATCAAAAGGATACGCTTTGGCTTTCTCTGGATCTACAAGTGAGTAAGCAGAAATTAGCTGTGCCAGGGTGTGAATATCTTTCGGATTTTGTCTAAAAGAAGAAATAAGAAAATTACTGAACTGTTTATAAAACTGGAGAAAGTAATATAAACAAGTAACTCTCTCATATCAAGTAGCAGCAATAAATGTGTTATTTCTACAACTCCATGTTTCAGAGCTTACTTCCATAGCTGTTGTAGGTCACTAATTGCCTCCTTCTTCCGCCCATATTTGAGTTTGAAGTTTGCAGCTTCTCTTATCAAGGACAAATGAGCAGGAGATTTGGGCTACAGTTTCAATAAAACGAAAAAAAAAAAAGTTTCAAGCTAAATATCTAGCCAGTAAATGCAGTTATATTCATTAGACCTTTAAGAAATACACCGATGCATTAGATCCCTCATCTTAAGTTTCACTGAATGCCTGAAACAACAAAATCATCCACGTATGTAGAGGAAAGCAGGTGGACAAATTATTAACTGTACAATCACCAATGGATAAATTTGGAAAACAACCTGTATCTATTTGGTGTCTACAACTGGAAACATTTCCCTATAATAATCAAATCTTAAAGATATGCCACTATAGTTCTCAAACATTAATTTAATATAATACTTTCCCAGAGCACTGATACCCTTCCACTGCTAACAGTACTAACAGTATAAAATGCCACCTGCACAGCGTTATGTATAATTTTAAGTTGGATACTGCTTATGCAGAGATCCATACTGGAAATAATGATATTCCTACTAGAGACATGATAAACAACTATTCCATGTATTACTGTTGTACTAATTGCTACCACCCATGGGTTCTCTAGCTATTAAAGATGATCTCTTAAATATGCAATCATGTACTATTATTATTTCTTGAGATTACATAAACAAATACATGTACACATACAGCAAGGAGCTTGAATAAATATAAAGGAGCTATTTTTCTATTTTGCAGCCATTGCTTATTTCTAATAACTTAATTTGGATCTGGTATACTGAAAAAAATGAATTTGATAATCTAAATAGTATTTCACTTTTAAAATAGTGACGTGTAATACTTCAGTTTGCCTGAATTTTTTCACTACTACCTCTTTATTTTTATGTAAAAACATGCCCTCATAACATTTTACTCCATTTGTTTACCTGATGGTTTTGATACCACTGGATAGCTAGTGCGAAGACCTCAATGGCACTATCAATATCTTCTTCATGGCTGTACATGGTAACTAACGCAGACACCTACACAGCCAAAGGTATAAATTAGTGAATCCTCCCTTCACTCCCAGAATACCATTTTTGAAAATAAAAAACACTGAAAAAATAGCGAATAAAGGCTCTCTGTTAGTACCTGATTTATCATGAAAGCTACTCCCTTTAGAGAACATAGTAACTTTACTTCTAGAAATACCATGAACAACCGTGTTTTCCAAATATGAAGGTAGTTATCTGTAAAATAAACCTTTCCTTTAAAGCAGTGCCAGTTCACAAATGGTTTGGTAAGTACAGAAGTTGAGAATAAGCCCTTAGAAATGTTTATACAATAAGACACTGCTGGACATTTAAGTGTACCATCAGTGAGGCATACATAGAGTGGCTGAACTCTCATGATGAATCCCACATGGCATGAGCTGCTTCAAGCCAGTCAAAAGAGTGCCTAGTGTTGCTTAGGGACAGGAAGGAGGCCTACACAGCTGGAGTGGAGGGGGAGGGGGATGATGAGCAGTAGGAGATGAGGATAGAAAGGAAACAAACAGCTGGATCTTTAAGAACAATCAGTAAAACTGACAAATCTCTGGTCAGGCTATTCAGAGGGAAAAAGAAAAAAAGCCATGAATAACCAGTATCAGGAATGAGAGAGGTTCTATAGATATTAAAAGGATAATAAAGAAATACAGTGAAGAACTTTTATGCCAATAAAGTCAGCAACTTAAATGAAATGGATACATTCCTTGAAAGGTAAAATAAGGCCATATATTAAATATTAGAAACATTTAAATTTCAGTCATATACTGTATTTGACTTTAAGGTAAAGTAATTATAGCACAATCCTTACAATATGAATCTTCAAGGGAAAGCACTACCATATTATTACATTTACTGAGTGCCAACTGCACAGAGGCCATGTTAGAGAATGCAAACATGAATAAAACAGCCCCTGTCCAAAAGATGCACTACAGAATTAGTTTATACTATGGAAAAGATGCTTTCACAGCTATATTAATGATTGAAACCTGCAATATTTGAATAATCAGAAAACTAAAAACTAAATTTGTTGGCCACTATTACGAAATTGTTCTAATTTAAAGAAATCACACTGATGAAAATGGTTTAGGCTAAGAAATTCCCTATACAGATCTGAGATTATTTGAGGTTGGCTTTCAGTGATACTGTAAGGCCTAAATAGTGCCTGGCACATTTAACTGAATAAGAAACCAATACCAGAGCAGAGAATGAAATTCAATTTACACCAGACAATTATTACTATTATAATTACTACTCCTACCTTAAAGTGAACACACATTACACATATAAATAAAGTGAATACACATTAGACATATAAATAAATTATCAATTCAACTACTTTTCAATTTTGTAATGTTTTAAACTCACCATGCCTGGTTTATGCTTTAACTCCTCTATGCTTCTTAATATTAGACATGCTTTAGAAATATTACCTTAGGAGAATAAACAAAATCAACATTACATAGAAGAACACATATTATGAAAAAAATACAAGAAATTTTACTTCCTCCCACTACTTTTCCTTAGGAAAGCAACCATAAGTCATATTTTGTAACATCTCTAAACATGTAAGTTTTGGGCCTGGGGATGGTGAACTCTATTCATTTAGAGATAAGGAAATTGAGCTCTAAAGAAATAATATACCTTGCTTAAGTTCACAAAGAAAGTTAATGGCAGAGCTGCTACCAGAAAAGAAGTCTCTTAACTCCCAGTCTGTTGAGTTCTATTTCTTCTTTTTTGGGCTGTAACTTGAAAGTGGGGTCCTTCCCTAAAGGCCTTGAAATATGTTACTATAGATATGAGTGCAATGGAAAATTTCCTATGGTGTTAAATTCTGATTTTGTACTCATTGCAAACCTCAATAACTCAAAATTTTTAGTCTTTAAATAGAAACAAAAAACCATGACAGACTGTCAGGAATTTCAAGATAATAAACCATCCTTGAAAAAATAAACTAAACACACGAGGAGGAAAGATCAAGGAAAGGGCAAAGAAGAGAAGACAGGGCTAAGAATAAGGAAACAAGACAAGGAAAGTAAAGAAATGAGAATTGGATAAGAGGGAGATCTGCAGTGTGTCTCAACCTTGTTTTCATTATTGCCCTACTAAGGACATTTTAAACATTTTTTCCCTAACTGCCAACTCCTCTCCTTCAACTCATAAAATTTTCATTTCAGCCATTGTAATATTTAAGATTTTTGTGATGAATTGTCACCCCCATCGAAAATCCACACTCTATACCAGAGCTGTTTGACAGAACCTTTTGTGATGATGTAAATGTCCTATATCTGTGCTGTCCAATATTGTAGCCACTAGTTGCACATAGCTACTAAACTTCTAAGATGTGGCTAGCATAATCAAAGAACTGAATTTTAAATTTAACTAATTTAAACTTAAAATAGCTACATGTGGCTAATGACTACCAAACTGGGCAACACAGCTCTAGATATTCAAAGTTAGATCAAAACCACAGACAAAAACACTGGCAGTTTTAAGATTCAAACACATCAGTTCTTGTTAAATTCTATTACCTTTCCCCAAGCCCAAAGACATAGGTGGCAAAGTGTAAAACAAAGTAAGAATGAAGGGCCAAGCTAAGAAATTCTGAAAACTATGATGCAAAGTAGTCATACAAATATTACCAAGTGACAGACATAAGCATTTCTGCATGTGACATACTCAGGCAATTTTAGTAGTATGTATGGTCTTTTGGAACAGAGGAATTCTTTGCTTCAGAACTTTCAAGGCACAGATTGAGAATCATTCTAATAATTTAGGAATAATCTGTGAAAAGGGGCAATTACCTCACTACTAAATCTGTTGGAGATCATACAATCTAGCTGCATGTTTGAAACAGTAATTATTATGCTTTACCATTACACAAAAAACTTAAAATCACATAGTTCACAACTGTAGAATCATTTCAACCATGTTTTCATTAAAATATTTTAACCACGATGAAAACCATAATACCTTGAGAAATTTTCAACTGTGCCATGGTCAGCTTAATTTCAGCCGCATTTTCTGGATGCTGATCTGAATATTCCTAAATTTTTTTAGTTTGGGAAAAAAAAAATCACATTTAATTTACACATCTAATTGTCTACATTACAGTTATTTAACTCAGCTACATAAGATTTTAAATTCAGTTTTAAAATATTAAACTTCTGGCTGCCGGTCAAAATCTTAACTTGGGAAAATTTTTATTCAACACCCACTTTTTTTCTTAAAGGTATGCTCTAAAAGTAAGTGTAATAATGTCAAGTTTTCTGTAAGTCACTAACAGAGAAATCCATCATCCCTTGGCCACGGGATATTGCTTCCAGAACCATCCCGCATTCCAAAACCCAAGGATGCTCAAGTCCCTTATATAAAAGTACAGTATTTGCATGTAACCTACACACGTACTCCTATACATTTTAAATCATTGTTAGATTACTTATAATACCTAATATAATGTAAATGCTATGTATATAGTTGTTATATTATCTAGGGAATAATGATTTTTAAAGTTTGTATATGTTGAGTACAGAGGCAATCATACATTTCCAACCCCAAAATGTGCTTTTTTATTTTTCTGAGGCGGAATCTTGCTCTGTCACCCAGGTTGGAGTGTAGTGGCGTGATCTTGGCTCACTGCAACCTCCGCCTGCCAGGTTCAAGTGATTCTCCTGCCTCAGCCTCCCAAGTAGCTGGGATTACAGGAATGTGCCACCATGCCCAGCTAATTTTTTGTATTTTTAGTAGAGATGGGGTTTCACCATGTTGGCAAGGCTGGTCTTGAACTCCTGACCTCAGACGATCGCCTGACTGGGCCTCCCAAAGTGGTGGGATTACAGACGTGAGCCACTACGCCAGGCGACCCCCACAAAGTTTTTAATCCATGGCTGGTTGAATTCTTGGATGCAAAACTCAAGGATACAAAGTGTCAACTGTAATAAAGATTACTAAATAGATTTTTTTTTTTGCTGGGGGGAGAGAAGAGGCGGTATCTCTTCACTGAGTGTGCCTGCTAGGCAATTGTGTCTGTCCGGATGATCCTAATCGTACCTGTCCAACTTTCCAATGTAGTTTATATTCAAGAAATTTAAATATGCAATATAATAGCTGGTTTGGGCTGATAAAAACAAAGTCAGTATCTCCATAATTGAGGTTCTGGAGTGGAACTCAGTGGAGATTAGATAATTGCAAAAGAGGTTAAGCATGTTCTAGAATTATACATTGCTCAGGTTATTGCCTGAAACAATCCCCTAACTCAGGTTAAATAGATCTTCAAACAAAACAGCATTCTTTAGCATTTATAACAAGTATTTACATTATAGAAATTTATATAAAACAAAGCTGTAACCCAAGAGTTGACTAAAATGGCACTGAAATTTGTGTAGTGGTACATTTCTAATTAGTTTTCCCATTAAATTTACATGCCTGTAGGTTATTACAACACAATGAAAATGAAACAAGGCTGCAAATGCCTGACACCTCATTCAAGTAATTATTTTACCTGAAGCAGCTCTATTGCTTTTGTGTGCTGCTTTTCACGGCAGAGCTGGGCAGCTTGGATTAACACAGGTAAGAGATGCTCGGGACTTTGGGACTGTAAACTGGCAGATATTTTGCGGCATTGTTCAGCCTAGAAGATACCCAACCCCCACAACAAAAACAAACTGGTTAATGAAATTAAACACTAAATGACCAGAAAGAAAAGAAACATGGGAAAATTAGTTGAAACAAACATTAACCAAAGAACTGCCTAGGATAAGAGAATCAGTTTACAGTATCTATTCTCAATTTTTTCTTGTAAGAAAATGATTTCTATTTATTGAATTTAATCTATGAACTCTAAAAGCCTTTAGTAAAGGAGAAATTCTAAACATTCACTTGGATGCCTAAATTCTAGAACTGTTTAAAAAAATCAAACACATCAAGTGTAAGCATTTGCTTCAAAAACAAAATGCATATGTATTTTTTGTTAAATTATTAAGAATAACTTGACTCAGTTCTAAATAACAGAAACATTACTGCCTCTCGGCTGGGCACAGTGGCTCACACCTGTAATCCCAGGACTTTGGGAGGCTGAGGCAGGCAGATCACGAGGTCAGGATACCAAGACCATCCTGACTAACATGGTAAAACCCCGTCTCTACTAAAAATACAAAAAAATTAGCTGGACGTGGTCATGGGCACCTGTAGTCCCAGCTACTAGGGAGGCTGAGGCAGGAGAATGGTGTGCACCCAGGAGGCGGAGCTTGCAATGAGCCGAGATTGTGCCACTGCCCTCCAGCCTGGGCAACAGAGCGAAACTCAGTCTCCACACACAAAAAAAACAAAAAACAAAAAAAAAATTACTGCCTCTCTCTCTCCCACTAAAACTTCTATTCTAAAAGAGTGTAAAATTAGAATTAGAATGCTTACTGGAGTTAGACTTGACCACCTTAACATTTATAACTTGATGTGATTATACACAGCAAAAATGAAAGATGGGTCTTAAATCTATAATCATGGCCAGCATCTTTGATGATTTTATCTTAATTCAGATTAGAAATAAGGTAATGAGAAAGTTATCTCATTTAAAGGTGTGAATACTGTTTTCTTCCCCTTAAAAGGTGTCAACCCTACACCCTTATAAGAAATTGGGCAAATTACTTGCTTAATAAATAAAATCTATGACATATAACATTCTTTCTTTTTATTAGAGACAGTCTCTCTCTGTCGCCCAGGCTGGAGTGAAATGGCACAATCTCAGCTCACTGTAAACAATTCTTGTGCCTCAGTCTCCAGAGTAGCTGGGACTACAGGCATGCACCACCATGTAGAGACAGGGTTTCGCCATGTTGCTTAGGCTGGTCTTGAACTCTTGAGCTCAAGCAATCCGCCCACTTCAGCCTCCCAAAGTGCTAGGATTACAGGCGTGAGCCATTGTGCCCGGCCAATAATATATATAATATTTTGAGGAAGGAAAAAAATATATTTATGAGTCGACGACAAAATACAAACAAAAACTATAAACAGATTAGACTAATATCCCTATTACTCCTCATACACCATATTACAAAAGGTTTAGCCATGACACCAAAGGTAATTACCCACCTGGTTTGTGTACATAGCAAGTAAAGCTTTGTTAAATTCTATAGCTTGTAGTTGTTTCTTGGAAAGTTTAAACTCTACTCCTTCCGCATTGGTTAATTTCACTTTCTTCTTGGAGTCAAAGACATTTTGGTCCTAACAAAAAAAGTTTATCCACCATTAACAGAATCTCAGATTTCAACTTATTCCTTTTTTTATTAACTTTATATAAATACAGCAGGAGAGCTTGAATCTATCTACCTGACTGGGGTGCCTAAGCTAATAAGATGCACTCTTGGTTCACAGAAGTAAACAAAATCTCTGCAGTTCAAATCTACTTGTATACACAGTTATCCCAGAATCTACGCCCACTCCTTTTAGAGCCTTCTCAAAGGAGGCTTCCTAGGTATAAAAAGGTTTAACAAGTGCACTGCTTTAAAGAAATGGAGAACAAGATTTCTGTTTTATTTTTCCACTATTAATTGCTTGTTTTGAGCTTTCTGAAGGAAAAAAGGGACAGCACAAATTGCAGTGTATTAGGACTACAAAAATACCTAATTTGACAATTCCTACAAGCTATGCCCTCTAGAATTTAGATGATAAATAAAAAGTAACTCACTTCTCTTCAAAATACAGGCATATCTTGGAGATATTTCGGGTTTGGTTCCAGACCACCGTGATAAAGCAAATATTACAATAGAAGGAGTCACAAATTTTTTGGTTTCCCAGTGCATATAAAAGTTGTTTATACTATATTGAAGTCTATTAAGTGTGCAACAGCATTATGTCTGAAAACAAGTACATACCTTTTTTTTTTTTTGAGACGGAGTCTGTGTCTGACACCCAGGTTGGAGTGCAGTGGTGTGGTCTCAGTTCACTGCGAGTTCTGCCTCCCGGGTTCACGCCACTCTCCTGCCTCAGCCTCCCAAGCAGCTGGGACTACAGGCGCCTGCCACCACACCTGGCTAATTTGTTGTATTTTTAGTAGAGACGGGGTTTCACCTGTTAGCCAGGATGGTCTTGATCTCCTGACCTCGTGATCCACCCACCTTGGCCTCCCAAAGTGCTGGGATTACAGGCGTGAGCCACCGTGCCCGGCCCAGTACATACCTTTTTTTAAAAATACTTCAATGCTAAAAAATACTGATACAGAGATATGAAATGGACACATGCTGCTAAAAAAAAAAGATACCAACATCGCTAGGCAAAGTGGCTCACGCCTGTAATCCCAGCACTTTGGGAGGCAGAGGTGTGTGGATCACCTGAGGCCAAGAGATCAAGACCATCCAGGCCAACATGGTGAAACCCCGTCTCTACTAAAAATATAAAAATTAGCTGTGTGTGGTGGCACATGCCTGTACTCCCAGCTACTCGGCAGGCTGAGGCAGGCGAATTGCTTGAACCTGGAGGTTGCAGAGAGCCAAGATCCCACCACTGCACTTCAGCCTGGGCAACAGAGTGAGACTCCATCTCAAAAAAAAAAAAAAAAAAAAAAAAAAAAAATGGAGCCAACAGACATGCTCAACACAGGATTGCCACAAACCTTAAGTATGTGAAAAACTTACAAAGTGTAATAAAGTAAAGCACAATAAAACGAAGTATGCCTGTAGTCACTCTGTAAGCAAATCATGAAACATCAGAAACACATCTGTAACCACTTTTGAACCCATTTTTTTTTAGTAGAAAATACTCATGTAACATATCTACTGTTTTTCCTTTCCTAAAGTCCCTTCTTCTTAACCAAGCAAAAGCATAAAGAAGCTCAATTTCTAAAATTCCCATGTAGCGGCACAGTGTTATCTTCCCAAAGAAAGACCTTTTAAGAATTACCGAAAGTCATATACATCTCCAAAAAAAGGGAGAAAACGAAGTCACACTGATTGCATCCTGAGAAGCGCAAACTGAGCATCTGAGTATCTACTACGTGCACAACACTCCAGCTTTGTAAAACAATGTACTTGCAAATACATGATACCACTGTGCTTTTTTAAAACAGGTCTTCTACCAGTTTAAAGACTAAAAGGAAGTGAAGAAATCTAAAATAAATTCTACTTTTTCTTAGTGTTGAGCTCCAAACCAATTTGAAACTATTTTAATGTGCAGCAAGAAACTGCCTTTCATATAAATCAATCCTAAAGAAACCATATTTCCTAGCTAGTTCTCTCACATCACTATTTTAATACTTCAATTAATTGTGCACATCACTGCCAGACTTTTCTTAAACTTGATTTCCAAGGCTCTGATATAATTCAATCTAATCTACTTTTTAAACTATCCAGCAAATACATACTCTCTTCTGTTTCCCCTAGAATCCCAGCAATTTGGGAGGCTGAGGCAGGAGGACTGCTTGAGCCCAGGAGTTAAAAGACCAGTCTGGGCAACATGGCAAGACTCTGTCTCTACAATTTTTTTTTTTTTTAAATTAGCTAGGCATGGTAGTGTGTGCCTGTGGTCTCAACTACTTGGAAGGATTGCCTGAGGCTACAGTGAGTAATATCAGAACCACTGCACTCCAGCCTGGGTGACAGTCTTTAAAAAAAAAAAAAAAGAAAGAAAATACAACATTTTCCATTAAGACTGTTCCTGGCCGGGCATGATGGCTCACACCTGTAATCCCAGCACTTTAGGAGGCTGAGGTGGGCGGATCATGAGGTTAGGAGATCGAGAACATCCTGGCTAACACGGTGGTGAAACCCTGTCTCTACTAAAAAAAAAAAAATTAGCCGGGCTTGGTCAGGGGGCGCCTGTAGTCTCAGCTACTCAGGAGGCTAAGGCAGGAGAATGGCGTGAATCCAGGAGGCAGAGGTTGCAGTGAGCCGAGATCAAGCCACTGCACTCCAGCCTGGGCGACAGAGCAAGACTCTGTTTCAAAAAAAAAAAAAAAAAAAAGGGTGTTTCTAATGGTGGCTAAAGACATTAGTACAGTACTCTAAGTTAGAGTGCTTATATATATATTTGTAATATTTTACATTGGATGGGGTGTGGGGGAGGAGAAAGAGCACCTGTCTATACCCCCTAAAAAAAGAAAACCCAAGAAAAAATTATATAAAGAACACTTTCACATTCAGATTCCACAGATGAAGAAATCATATAAAACATGCATATACTTAAAGTTTAAAAGCCCCAATAATTTATATCTTTTACAAAGAGAGAGTCTCTATATTATTATACACTGGGAAAAGGGGAGGATCTTAAAAACTCTAGGATCTACTACAAAAAGTTTTATTACTCAAATATACCTGGCAGCATCATTATCGTTAGGAGAGTTAAGTAATATTCTCCATTGCGATTTTGCTACAACTGGACTTTTTTCATCATGTTAAAAAGAACTCCTAGAACAAAACTAAAACTAAGGTGATGAGCTTTCAGGGTAAAATATATCTGTAAGGAAAGCCATGAATATTCCATACCTTGTTAATGGTAATGATGTTATTTGCAATTACAGCTAGTAATCCCACATCTGTTGGTCTGTGAACAACAAGCAACAGTCAAAACCAAACAAACCTTTAAAAAGAACCCTATCCCTATAAAAGATACTTCCTTTTAATAACTCACTTTAGTTTTATTATTTGATTGTAAAGTTGCAAAGCCTCCTCTGTTCGACCCTGAAGCTGCAGAATATAGGCCATCTGACCATGAATGATGGCCAGTTCTGCCTGTGGGTCTTCCTCAGTCCCATCCTAAGAGAAAGAAATATTTTTCCCATATAAATTTTCCAAACTGATCTACATATTTACCAAATAACCCAAAAATTCAAAAGAGATACAATCCTAAAGAAGACATAATTTCAGAAATTTTCCTTTAGAGTCAATTCTTTAGAAATTGCCAGCAAGAGAGAAGTTTAAGTGAAAATAGCAAAAAGACTTCAACTTCTAAGAAGTATCTAAAGAAAAAAAAAAGGCAAAAAGATCCTAGAAAAACACGGTAATAAGTTTAGGAATACCATTTATTGATCATTATCATCCTCTAAAGCCCAAGAATTAAAAAACCTAAGTAAAAAACCAGCATGCAAGTATATCTTTTTATAATGATACCCCTAAATTCTGAAAACATAATTTTCTCATAAAAATCACATTTAAAAATGCTTTTCTCTCTACTCTACTATAACTCTACTATAAAAACTAGAAAATTCCAATTAACACTGTACAAAAAACTTCAAAAGCTGGAACTAATTCTGTACTTTAATCCTATAATTGAACAAATTACGTAATTATAGTAGTAGCTCTCTTAACTGATGCTCCAGATTAATCCACATTTCTCCTCTCCTTCTGAAAAGGCTGTACAATGAATACTCAAGACTAGGAGACAACACTCCTTTAATGACCCAACACTCCTGCTCTCACCTGGTGAGTATCTGCTGACCAGGAGTCAGGTATGTTTGTTTCCAAACCCATTATGCAGTTGTGTTTGATGAGGAAATGATAACACTTAAAAATATTAAAAAGAACTATGGGCTGGGCATGGTGGCTCACGCCTGTAATCTCAGTGCTTTAGGAGGCTGAGGTGGGAGGGTCGTTTGAGGCCTGGAGTTGAGACAAGCCTGGGCAACACAGTGAGACCCCCATCTCTACAAAGAAGAAAAGAATTAGCTGGGCATGGTGGCGCTACTCAGGAGGCTGTGGTGAGAGGACTGCTTAAGCCCAGGAGTTTGAGGTTACAGTGACCTATGATCACACCACTGCAATCCAGCCTGGGTGAAACAGCAAGATCCCATCTCAAAAAAAAAAAAGGAGAGAGTTAACTCTGAATGTGTAAAGAGACATATTTCAACATAAATCATGTTGAATACTCAGAAAGATATGGTAAAGGTAAATTCCTAAAGAAAATTATTGTCTAGTTGTGAGCCAAAAAGATTGGTTGTGGTAAGAGATTGGTTAATAACAAAAAAAAAACTTTAAGGACTCTATAATGAAAGTGCTTACCTATTGTATTTAAGATATTGTTATACTTAAAAAGAAAAACCAAAAGTGTAAATTGGGAGTGTTGAATTATGTCACTACATAAGAAATACACATGGAACTTCTATGAGCAGACCAATCCTCAAAGACCTTAGTCCTACATCCTAAAATAGAGGAATAAATTTACATTATATAAATATATAATCAAGTGCTTAAGGTATGCCAAAATTTTTTGTATTGTGATTTCTCACTCTAATAGACTTCATCAAATAACTGATACAAAAGGGTGGTTTCTAGTGTGATTCCTACTTAATCACCATCTTCTAAAGAAAGTCAATAAATAGTACAATGAAGCCTCAGTAATGTTAATAGTCAGAAGTGTAAAATTTTGGTTTAACAATGATGGAATACTTACAGTGTCTTCTGATAAAGAACGGCGACAAAGATCTACAGGAGAAAAAATTGTTTTAAGTAGTATTGCTGGGTAAATCCCATTTCTTTCACTATTCCAAAGAGCAAGATCTAAATTTCTAGGCAGAAGATTCCAAGATAATCATAGTAACAAGCACCTGTGAAATTTATGTTAGCATCAAATATACTACATACATATTATCAGTCTCTTGACTTTCCTAGCTCTTTGGCACTTTTCTTTCATTTGTTGTGTCTATGCTAAAAATATTTGTAAAGTGCATCAAAAAATACAAATGTAGTAAATATTAACTGCAAAAAACCAATTATACAAAAGTATAAAAATAAATAATCCTACCACCCAGAGATAAACACTACTAATATTTCAGTTATTTAGTTTTTAATATTTTTTTTTTGTTTTTAAAGTTGGGGGGTCTCACTCTGTTGCCCACGCTGGAGTGCAGAGGCTTCATCACAGCTCACTACAGCCTTGAAATCCTGGGCTCAATTGATCCTCCCACTTCCACCTCCCAAGTAGCTGGGACTACAGCTGTGAGTCACCATACCTGGCTTAGTTTTATGTAAATGCACAGCCGCATTTTAAAATGAAAGTGAGACACCGTGCATGCTATTTTGAAACCTCCCTTCCCCATTCAATATCCTGTGGATATCTCTCTGTTACAATAAACACAGATTTACATTACTGTATCTTTTTTAATGTTATTGGTTGTAATGACTGTAATTACTTTGTGATTATGGTAAAACTTAGCCAATCCTTTAATAGTACAGAACTTCATGCTGTTTCTAAATTTCTGTTCTTATGAATATCCCTTCAATGAACATTCATACAGACATGTATGTAAATTTACCTAATCATTTCCTTAAGTTTCTAGAAGTGAAATTATTGGATCAAAGGGTGGTAAATTTTAAAATCTGCTACACATCACCAAATTGCTCACTGAAAAGTCTGTATTATTCTTACACTCAAACCCACAATGTATGAGAACGTTCTTCATTGGGTATGATCAAGAAATTATAATTCTGCTGGGTGCAGTGGCTCATACCTGTAATCTCAGCACTTTGGGAGGTCGAGGTGGGTGGGTCACTTGAGGTCAGGAAATTATAATTATCTCTTTTTTTTTCTGAGACAGGGTCTCACTCTGTCACCCAGGCTGGAAATACAGTGGTATGATCTCAGCTCACTGGAGCCTCAATCTCTTAGGCCCTCCTAGGCCCTGCTGCCTCGGTCACCCGAGTAGCTGGGAATACAGGTGTGTACCACCACACTCAGCTAAATATATATATATTTTTGTAAAAACGAAGGCTTACTATGTTACTCAGGCTGGTCTTGAACTGCTAGGCTGAAGCAATCCTCCTGCCTTGGCCTCCCAAAAGTGCTGGGATTACAGGCATGAGCCACTGCACTCAGCCAAAAAATTATAATTCTGAAACAGATTTTCCACATGATGCTCTAACCTTTGTTCTTATTTTAACTTTCAACATTTAACAGTAAAATTTTGCTCTCATTTTAAACCCTAATATTTAAGAGTAAAACAGACTTTGTTTCACCTTTTTTTCCACCCCAATGATCACTGCAGTACCTACATCACTTTTATAGCTTCCAGGGAAAAATGTATGCACAAGCAAAGTCAAAATGTTTCATGTGTTAATACCAGACACAGTTCTCTAATCAATTAATTTTTTTCTTAACTAAAAGCTTCAGCTGGGCACGGTAGCTCACGGCTGTAATCCCAGACTTTAGGAGGCCAAGGCAGGCAGATCACTTGACAACAGGAATTTGAGATCAGCCTGGCCAACATGGCGAAAACCGTCTCTACAGAAAATACAAAAATTAGTTGGGCATGGTGGGACGCACCTGTGATCTCAGCTACTTGGGAGGCTGAGGCATGAGAACTGCTTGAACCTGAGAGGCGGAGGGTGAAGTGAGCCAAGTTCTTGCCACTGCACTCCAGCCTGGGCGACAGGGCGACTCTGTTCCTCCCCTGCCCACAACCCCACCAAAAAAGCTTCAAAGCATGCAAATATTATATAAAGAAACACACCAAATGGAGTTAAAACATGCTTGAGGCCAAGTGTGGTGGCTCACGCCTGTAATCCTAGCACTTTGGGAGGCCGAGGCAGGTGGATCACGAGGTCAGGAGTTCGAGACCAGCCTGGCCAACATGGTGAAACCCCGTGTCTACTAAAAATACAAAAATTAGCTGGATGTGGTGGCAGACACCTGTAATCTCAGCTACTTGGGAGGCTGAGGCAGGAGAATTGTTTGAACCTGGGAGGTGGAGGTTGCAGTGAGCTGACATCACACCATTGCACTCCAGCCTGGGCACCAGGGCAAGACTCTGTCTCAAAAAAAAAAAAAAAGTGCTTGAATGGTGCTATCAATACATAAGTGTAGTGTATGTGTGTGTATACACATAGGCACACTATGTTATTACTTGAATACCTGTTAAACAACAATAATAACAGTAACAAAATATTTACTGAATGCTTATACTATATGCCATCATGCCATGTATTATTGTGAATGGTTGACATTCATTAACTCACTTAATCTACACATAACATTCACAGTAACTTGTTCAAAGCCTGCTCCTCAAAATTCAAACGTAAGGTCTGGTATGGTTGGAAAAAGACTAATAGACTGGCTTAGGGATTAGAAATATGGGTGAGATATGGTCAAAAAGAGAAAGTGCCAGTAATCCTAGCACTTTGAAAGGCCGAGGAGGGTGGATCACTTGAGGCCAGGAGTTCGAGGTCAGCCTGGCCAACATGGTGAAACCCCGTTTCTCTACTAAACATACAAAAATTAGCCAGGCGTGGTGGCACGCACCTATAATCCCAGCTACTCAGGAGGCTGAGGCAGAATTGCTGGAACTTGGGAGACAGAGGTTGCAGTGAGCCGAGATCATGCCACTGTACTCCAGCCTGGGTGACACAGTAAGATTCTGTCCGCATCCCCCGCCAAAAAAAAAAGAGAAAGACTACATGAACTTTGAGAAATTGTCACTGCATCGATAACTTCCATTTAATAATTTCACAGAAGTCCAGTGCAATTTTAGAAGATACTCTACAAAGTTATATGCACATTATATTTAGAGGTAAGTTTAACAAACTTCCAACCTTCAGCCTTTTGCAGGATTTTCATGGCCTGGTTCAGCTGGCCTTGGCCTATCAGTGCACACGCAGTGTTGTAGCACAGCTCATGTGTGCCTTCTTGGAGGCCCAAGTTCTCCTGTCAGGGGACAAAATACCAGTTAAATACTAAACATGAATAATACTTCACAACTGTATGGGTATACCACAAGGATACTCACTGGAACCACTTTTTCCCAATTGCTTTGAGCTGCAACAACTGCTGAAAGGTTTGTTTTCCTCTCCTCATCATAATCATCTTGAGAGTTTCGGACAAGATCTCTATATACCGCTAAGCATTCATCATAGCGTTCCAAACGGTATAACTGAATAATAAATAGCAAGTAAAAAATCAGAGACAAATATGGTGTTACATCTTTAATACCATGCAAATCTTTTTTGGAACCACTAAGTAGGAATCCTAGTTCAGCATAATGGGAACAATCAACTGTTTATGTTTTATAATTTTTAAATGAGTTCCACGTACTAGTCATACTTCCAAATAAATTACTTTTTGAAAATACTTTTAAAATGAATGTTCAATATATTGTGGATCTGTAGGCAGGATTCAGTTGAGAAAAGTCATTTTCTTTCTTTCCTTTTCTTTTTTTTTTTTTGAGATGGAATTTCACTCTTGTTGCCCAGGCTGGAGCGCAATGGTGTGATCTCGGCTCACCACAACTTCCACTTCCTGGGTTCAAGAGATTCTCCTGCCTCAGCCTCCTGAGGTAGCTGGGATTACAAGCATGCGCCACCATGCCTGGATAATTTGTATTTTAGTAGAGACGGGGTTTCTCCATGGTCAGGCTGGCCTCTAACTCCCGACCTCAAGTGATTTGACTGCCTCAGCCTCCCTCAAGTGATTTGACTGTAATCAGCCTCCGGGATTACAGGTGTGAGCCACCACACCCGGCCAAGAAAAGTCATTTTCTTTACCTTTCTTCTTAAAGTTAGTAAAGTGCCTAAATAGGTTGTGAAAGAACACCTTTATAGAATTCAACCCTGTTATCTAGATCTAAAGTTACAACGAAAATATTTTTCCACAACACAAAATGATTACTAAAACAGGAACAAAATTAAAGAAAAAGACAATGTTTCCTAGAGTTCGCTATAATCTTCATTTTATCTTTCTTAGAAACCAGCTATCACACAGGTGAGTCTTAAGCAGACACAACAGAAATCCTACCGATTTCATTCAAGTTGTGCTGAAAAAATAATAACTGCTACTCTAGGTCAATTAGTCCATTATGTATGACACAGGTTGATGTCTTTAACCTCAAAATGCTAGAATTTACCCTAAAGTTATCCAGTTTACCTTAAAAGTTTTTTATAGACCTACAATCCATGAATTTGTCCAAATCTTTCTTCAACTCATTTATATTATTAAATCCATACTACCTCCTGAGAACAATACATTCAATACAACATTATTTGCCCTAAATTGACATTTAAAAGTCTTTGAGAGGAGGCCAGGCGTGGTGGCTTATGCCTGTAATCCCACTACTTTGGGAGGTCAAGGCAGGCAAATCACTTGAGGCCAGGAGTTTGAGACGAGCCTAGGCAACATGGCATAACCCCGTCTCTACTAAAAAATACAAAAATTAGCTGGGTGAGTTGGCGCATGCCTGTAATCCCAGCTACTCGGGAGTCTGAGGCAGGAGAATCGCTTGAACCTGAGAGTTGGAAGCTGCAGTGAGCCAAGATAGTGCCCCTGCACTCCAGCCTGGGCAACAGAGCGAGACTCCATTAAAAAAAAAAAAAGAAAAGAAAAACTTTAAGAGGGTTTTGTTAACTATAATATACACATTTCTGTCCTCTTGTCATTAACAGCCCCATTTTACATTAGGTTTAATTTTATGTCTCAAAATACTTTAAAATATTTTCATGATTTCATGGGCTAGAATAATCTAAATTCTTATCTATCATGATATCCTTCATTTTAAACTTAGAATACAATATTAGTGAAATACTATTTCAAACCTGTTGAAGTATACAAGCTCAATGTGCTTTATCTTTCTAACTCAAAAGTCAAAATTAAATAGATTAATTCTTTTATTTTCTTTGATTTCCTAATTACCCGAGGAAGTCATTTGTTCATGGCATGTTATATATGCAACTATTTGTATGAAGATAAAGAAGAGGGATTATGTTCAAACCTCAAGGACTGGTTTGGTGGCTAGTGTTGTGGAGCATCAGGATAGGCTGGGTTTCCTCAACCCTGCTCCTTGCTAGAGGTAGTCATGCTCACTCAGGATCACTGTCAACATGTATTTAAAAGCAGTAATTACCACTTGTCCATAAAGCTCCTTCAGTTTGTCTGTCTGTTGGTTAGCACTTTCTATTGTCTTCAAGGCATTCTCAATTCTGTTCAGCCTGTACTCGCAATATGCCTTTTCAAAGGAGAGAGAGTTACTGAAGAAGGAAAAAAACCAGTATCTGATTATTATCTAACAATGCAATGTACCCAATATATAGAACATCGCTCTAAGCACTGGATTTAGTCCTGATAACAGATGAGAAAACTGACAAAGGTTAGAGACTTATCTAAATATCAGATAGCTTGTAAATGTCTATCAAATATATAATTAAGCATATATCAGTTTCCCTAGCCTCTCTTTCTTTCATGGATATTCTTTTTTTTTTTTTTTTTTTTTGAGACGGAGTCTCGCTCTGCCGCCCAGGCTGGAGTGCAGTGGCCAGATCTCAGCTCACTGCAAGCTCCGTCTCCCGGGTTCACGCCATTCTCCTGCCTCAGCCTCCCGAGTAGCTGGGACTACAGGCGCCTGCCACCTCGCCCGGCTAGTTTTTTGTATTTTTTAGTAGAGACGGGGTTTCACCGTGTCAGCCAGGATGGTCTCGATCTCCTGACCTTGTGATCCGCCCGCCTTGGCCTCCCAAAGTGCTGGGATTACAGGCTTGAGCCACCGCGCCCGGCCGGATATTCTTATTAAAATACACATTTAAGAAGGAAATCATTAATCTGCTAAATAAGTAATTGTCTTAGATACAAAGATAATTTGAAGGCTGCTTTAAATGGGTTATTTTGGAAGTTTCTTAAATTCATTAACAAAACAATAAGCCATAAAATGCTTCTTTAAACTTGTTTAAGAAACAAATGATTAGCAAAGAAAAAATAACTATAAATCTTAAAAGAAGTACCCGTAATCAAACAACCGGTAAACACTACTAACATACACACACTTAAAAATTCATCTACATTAATCTGATACCTCATTGATGATGTTTCAACCATAATCCATGAGGAAAAATATTTGTTAAAGCAAAGGCCAATGTCCTTTATTTACTTACCTAACAAAAAAATTTATTTTTGGGCCAGGTGCGGTGGCTCATGCCCGTAATCCCAGCAATTTGGGAGGCCGAAGCAGGCGGATCACTTGAGGTCAGGAGTTCAAGACCAGCCTGGCCAACATTGGCAAAACCCTGTCTCTACTAAAATTACAAAAATTAGCCCGGTGTGGTGGTGCACATCTGTAATCACAGCTACTTGGGAGGCTGAGGCAGGAGAATCGCTTGAACCTGGAAGGTGGAAGTTCCACCAGCCTGGGCGACAGAGCAAGACTCCGTCTCAAAAAAAAAAAAAAAATTTATAAATACTTTTATCCAAGACTCATTGACAAAATGTTTTTGAAAATGTCTCTCACAAAATAGCCCAAAATCAAGACACTGAATTTTAGCACAAACATATTTAATAGGAGAAAAGCAGTATTGCCTCCATTTCCCTTTTATTTTTAATAAAGTTTAAAATTAATTTTTAATCTCTGTAACACATTTATATGGCTCAAATATAAAAAGAAAAAGATGTACACTAAGAGGCTTTATTCCCACTGCTACCCAAATCTAACCTGTTCCTATTACCTCCTACAAATGACTTTTTTTTTTTTTGAGACGGAGTCTCCCTGTTACCCACGCTGGAGTGCAATGGTGCAATCGCAGCTCACTGCAGCCTCCGTCTCCTGGGTTCAAGCGATTCTCCTGCCTCAGCCTCCTGAGTAGCTGGGAATACAGATGCGTGTCACCATACCCAGCTAATTTTTTGTATCTTCAGTAGAGATGGGGTTTCACCATATTGGCCGGCCTGGTCTCAAAGCCCTGACCTTGTGATCGGCCCTCTTTCGGCCTCCCACAAATGACTATTTACTCATTGTTTCTCTTTATATTGTTTGTTTTGCAAATACAGGCAAATAGATATATAAATTTTTACATCCTCCTCCTCTTGCAAAAGGAAGTATATTGTATATTGTTCTGCACCTTATAAACCAGTATCCCATTAATATGCTTCAAATTTAATTTCAATACTTTTTTTTGGAGCCTAGGTGTAACAGTAAAGAAACTGTGACTGAGTTATTCTCCCTACATCCTCCAAGGACTCATAATTATGCCCCACAACTCTCTATGGTTCACCTCCTTAGTGGTTCAAAGGAAACACAATGGTTAAAACAAACAAAAAAAATAGACCCTCTAAGGCTAAAAGAAACAGAAGTTACTAGTATTCCTCCCAGTTTCAGAAACATTATTGACAAGCAAAAGAGGGGAAAAAAGGAAGGAAAGATAAAAAAAAAATCAGCAAATAGTTGGGGAAAAAAACATGGAAGAGATTATAGCTATACTGTTTCTAATAACTGTACAAGCAACTAACTGAATCACTTACTTGGCTAATACTTTGGTGTGAGTATTGATGACATTCAAAGCTTCCTTGAAACTTCCATTCTGGATAAGGCATACCACTTTACAATGCAGGGCAGTTACATCATCTTTGTTGATCTGTAGTACTAGAGAACAATTTTAGGAAAGTCATTTTAAAATCCATTCCTTTTCACATTTTTACTAAATTTTCCCATCCTGTCTCTCCGAAAGCTAAATTTCTAATTTTATTGCAGCAGAAATAATCGGTCAGAACAACTAGAAGAAACAGCAACAAAGCAAAACAAACCCAGAAAATAACTAATCTTCACTTTTAACTTAAGAAGTGACAATAAGGAGAGTTATAGATTAAATTTTCAATGAGAGAAAGATGCCCAGTAGGCATGTACCAAAAAAGTGCAGTGAAATAAAGAAGAAAGAAGCAATTTCTCCAGATATTTCATCTTGAAATGCATGCTACATTCTGTATAGTTCATTACTTCACAAGGAAAAAGTTCGGTAGAATTTGGAAGCAGATGACCTAGGTTTGGTGCAAGCTTGCCACTAAATGCCTTGAGGTCTTGGGTATATCACTTAACAGCCAAATCTTAGTTTTCTGAGCTACAAAATGATTAGAAAAGCATTACCTATTTAATAAGGTTACTGAAAACACGAAATGAGAATATTTTGGAAAAATTTTATAAAGTATAATGCAAAGGCAATTTATCTTGCTGGCAACGTTTCCAAAAATCATTAAAATTTTCCCTTTTCACCTAAGATGACCAAAGTATAAGGAAGAACTCAGGTGGCAAGTTTCAATGTTAACAACTGTTCGCTATTAAAATGACCAGGATCATCGTTACTCTTGTTCCTGTGCCACTACAGAAGTCCAATTCTCAAAGAATCACAAGAATTTCTACCAATTAAGAAAACATACTGGTGAACAAGTTGACAACCTTTGCTGACTAAAAGAATTCCTGCAAAATACTACACTGCTACTAAGTACATAGTACTGTTTGGAAGGCTAGAGTTAATTCAAACAAATTTAGGGATAAATTCTAATTCGTAGCTATTCTCCTCAACGTCTGAAATCACCAAAAGTGCACTGTGGGCACAATCACTACTTTTCAAGTTAACCCAGTACTAGAGTGCTGAAAATTATTTAGACAGCTTTCTATGTTACTGACACACCTTTTAGGTTAATACTACTCTGAACAGCTAAGCCGTGCCTTGGTAATTACATATCCAAATCTAACATGCACAGGCTGTACCTTCACTAGAGAAGAACTGCGCACCACCGAAAACATTAAGTAGCATGGCCATGCCACATTCCAGGTATGTAGTAAAGAACAAAAGGATATGATGAATTAAACCTCACAACAAAGGCAGTAAAACCCTAAACTATCCCTTACAAGGCAAAAAAAACAGGCCAAACTTTTCTTCCGACATTTATCCAGTGTTGGTGCTTCCACACACATATTTCCTAACTTAATAACACTGAAGAGATCCCATCTGTGGGAATGACAGGCCTGACATCCAGATCCAGCCCTTTCCTCTCGCCCAGTAGAATACGTACAGCTTCCACCCGGTCAGCACCAGCTTCCAAACTACGTGTCCCAAGCAGGTTCCTCCCCCTTTAGCGGCCAAAGAGAACAAGCTCCCTCAGTAATACAGTCCTGATCATTGCGCTCAAGATGAAGAAGAAAAGGAGGCACTTTGGAATATTTGTGAAATAAAACAGCAAAGAGGGAGTCAAATAAGAAAACAGTTTGAAATGGGCTCCGAGAGCTGCGGTCTCTTTAAAACCTGCCCTCGCTTCCCGCGGGGGGTAAAGAGGGAAGTACACGTGGCTCTAAGCAACCAGGGACCCCAGGCTGACCTGGTGAAGCCGAGGGGTGAGACCTGCGTCTCCCGGACGTTCGAGCCCGAGCCGGGGGGAGAATGGTCGGGAGGGTTTCGGGGGTCTCCCCTTCCCGTGCCTCCCGCGCGAGGTGGTCTCGCGTACCGGAAACAGGCCGCATCCTCCCGCCGGCCTGGGCCCGCCCCAGTGCCCACCCCGACACTTACTCTTATTGACGGTCTTGAGAGCGCGCGTGAAGTCGCCGTTCTGGCCATACCGGTTCACTTCACTCCACAGCGCAGGCACTGACACCCCCCCACTGCCGCCACTCGCCATCTTGGAGGAGACGAGGGGCGGGGCGGGGCGACCTCTGCCCCGGAAGAGGATCTCTAAGGCTGCCAAGAGGAGGAGGAAGTTGATGATTGCTAAGCGTTGGGAGCGTCTTCAATCCTGAGGCAGCATCAGAGACCGTAATCTTCTGCTCTCGTGGCAAGAAATTTGCACGGATAGAGTTGATGCACCTCACTTGAAGTTGGCCTGGAGAAAGAGGCGTCGGACTCCCGGACGGGGTTGAGAAACGGTCACGAGTTTCGGCTCAAAGCAGCGTGTTTCCAGGAGACCGCCATGGTCGAGGCAGCGTCCCGGTCCCACGGTGCGGGCCTGGACGATCATTTGTGGGATATAAATAAAAGGACTATGAGGTGGTAAATGAAAGACTACCAACTAGAAGCCGTAGGGAGTCATTTGAAGGAGAAATAGGCACGGCTCGTCGGTGGTTGAGGGAAAGGGATCTTGAAAGATGATTAGGAGAACTTGGGTTCTGGGGAAAGTAGGGGAGGACATTCTGGCAGAGAAGCAAACGTGAGGAAAGGTAAGAAGGCAATAATCTCCCATTACAAAGGGTTTGGTGAAACCCTCTGCCTGTCATTTTCGCTCCGTTGGGGAGCAGTCGGCAATAAGCTGAAAGGGTAATGGGGTGAAAATGCCCGGGGTCAGTTCCTGGCTCTGCGACTCACTAGATGCCTGACAATAAACAAGTTACTTAGCTTCTGGGAGTCTTTTTTCCCAACTGTGAAATAGGGATACTATATTTGTTCTAGAGATATAAAATATTAGGGTTTGCTTACGACCTTAGTATCAAGATGTGTTCAGGTGTACGAACGGAATGGTATCTATTTGGTACACTTGGTGTGAGTATATATATATATTTTTTTTTAAGAGACGGGAATCTTGCTGTGTTGCCCAAGCTGGTCTGGAACTCCTGGGCTCAAGCAATCCTCCCACCACAGCCTCTCCAAGTGCTGGGATTACAGGCATGAGCCACCACACCCAGACGATGTGAGAGATACACTTGATGTGAATGTTGTATTTTATTGAATGGCCTGCTTTTCAGACTCATATCTTGTCATGACTTTTACAACTTCTGTTACTCCCTCTGTCCCTCAGGAACCTAGCTAACTTTTTTTTTGAGACGTAGTCTAGCTCTGTGACCCAGGCTGAACCTCACTGCCATCTCAACCTCCTGGATTCAAGCGATTCTTTTGCCTCAGCCTCCCAAGGAGTTGGGACTATAGGCATGAGCCACCGTGCCTGGTTAAGTTTTGTATTTTTAGTAGAGATGGGGTTTCACTATGCTTGGGTTAGGGTCACTATGCTTGGGTTGGTTTGAGACTAACCAAGCTAGTCTCAAACTCCTGACCTCAAGTGATCTGCCCTCCTCAGCCTCCCAAAGTACAGGATTTACAGGCCTAAGCCACTGTGCCTGACCTTGCTAACTTTTTTGTCTTTCAGCCTTTCTGGTTCTACGTTGAAAGTTACTTTGAGGAAACATTTGATCTTGCAGACTGGGCAACCTTGTGAAGCAAAAAATGCCAACTATGTGCCAGGCAATATGCTAGATCCTAGGGATACTGCAGTGAGCAAGGTAAATATGGTTCCTTGGCCTCAGAATTATAGTTCATATAGAGTGAGATAACCCTTAATTGATTGCATCCTCTTAGAACGGGGTCCCCAACCCTGGTACCGGTCTGTGGCCTGTTAGGAACCGGGCGGCACAGCAGCAGGTGACTGGTGGGCCAGTGGGCAGTACGGCCTGAGCTCTTGTCAGATCAGCTGTGGCATTGGCTTCTCACAGAAGCTCAAACCCTATTGTGAACTGGGAATGTGAAGGATCTAGGTTGCTCACTCCTTATGAGAATCCAATGATAAATGTAATGAGCTTGAATCGTACTGAAACCAACTGTCCAACTCCTGTGGAAAGATTGTCTTCCCTGAAACCGGTCCCTGGTGCCAAAAAGGTTGGGAGACCACTTATAGGAGATTCTGTCTACTTCTGAGCACTGATAATCAATCAAGGGTTATCTCACTCTGTATGGACTGTAATTCTGAGGCCAGGGAACCATATTTACCTTGCTCACTGCAGTATCTGTAGGATCTAGCATACTGCCTGGCACACAGTTGGCATTTTTTGCTTCACATTCCTTACCTAATCTGTGAGTTCCTTGAGGGCAGAAACTGCCCAGCTCCTGATATGGCATATGGTGCCCTGCCATATTTTTGTCTGGTCCTTGCTGTATATACAATGCAAACAGCATGAAAGGTGGCCTGAACTGTAGGTGCTGGAGGGTGTAATTCTTGTCAATTAGTAAAAATCATGAGAAGAGCTTTAGACTTTTACTGACTAGAATTGTCAAAGGTTTCAAGCCAGTTATGTTTAGATTTCAGGGGATGGGAGCTCCAGAAGACAATGCTGTGTGAGAAAATTGGGTATACCCAACCAACATTTGTTGTATTTTGTTATTCTGAGAAAATGTAGATTCCACTGTATTCTCCAAAGGTGTTTATATCCACTATCTCCTCCAAGTTAAGAGCCACTGCACTAGTATTACTTTTTAGAACATTGGCTTTATATAAGAATTGGTCATTTTGGTTTCTATATCATTCTGATCCCATATATTTTGTAGCTTTTAGAAATGCTCAGAATTCTGCTGCTGTGGACTTGTTTCTATGTCTTATGTCATTTTAATGGAGTTTTGTGGCAAACAGCCTATAAATATGGGGCTTAACCTGCCGTTTTTGAAACAGGAATCTTCCAAACCAGAGTGGCGTTTTTTGTTTGTTTTTTTTTTTTTAAATAAACAACAAATTTACATCTCACATTGTGAAGGATGGAAAGATTGTCTGGTGAGGTCCCACTCATAGATGGCATCTTCTGTTTTCAGATGGTGGGAAAAACACCAGACTGATCCCTTAAAGCATGTATCTGATGCCACTTTCCTACCCTCCTGATAAAATCTGAACTACAAAGACTAGCAGTAAGGGCTTTTGTGATCTGGCCTCTGCTTGCCACCTCCCCAACTCAAATAGGTCTCCTTACTCATTTCCTAGCCCCCTTGCGTGCTAGTCATCTCTAACTTCTGTGTAGTTATGTGTCCCCCTACCTCCTGGAATCTGCACTTTTATTCATTTGACAAGTGTTTGAATGTCTTGTATATGCCAGTGCCATGTATTACACCAGTTGCTGGGATACAACTGACAACAAAGAAGACAACCCAGTGTAATACAAAATTTATTTTCTAGTTGGGAGAGATGGGTAATAAATATGTACTATGGTAGCAATAAGTTTGCTGAAGAAAATTATGGAAAGCTAAGAGAGACTGAGTATAGACTGTGGAGAATTATTTCATTCACTAATTGTTTTCTAGAGATCAGAGAGCCCTTCCTACTTCTGTGTATTCACAATACCGTATTGTTAATTCCATGTTAAGGCTTAATATGGTGTTTTGAAATTGTCTGCCTCTGGAGACTCCAACATTAATTGAGGGCAGAAGGTTAATTTTGTTCATCTTTGTATTCCGAGAGTCTCACATATACATAGTAGGCTGTATTCGTTCTCTAAAAAACACAGAACCAATAGGATATGTGGAGATTATGAGAAATTGGCTCTGCAAAATGGAGGTGAAGTCCCACAGTCTGCCTTCTGCAGACTGAAGGCCCAGGAAAGCCAGTGTAGTTCCAAACCCAAAGGCTTGAGAATCAGGGGAGGCAATAATGTAAGTCCTAGTCTCAAGGCCTGAGGACCAGGAGCACCAACGTCTAGGGGCACGAAATGGATGTCCCAGCAGTTCACCCTTCCTCCCCCTTTTTGTTCTATTTAGGTCCTCAATGGATTAGATGATGTCCACCCACATGGGTGAAGGCAGTCTTCTTTACTCATGTCTACTGATTCAAGTGCTAGCCTCTTCCAGAAACACCTTCACAGACGCACCTAGAAATGTTTGACCAACTATCAAGGCATCCCTAGCCCAGTCAAGTTGACAGAATTAGCCATCTCATCAGTATCCATAATGTATTTTTATATTAATGGATTTAGCCATTTATGATTTGAGAAGCTTCTGTGTACAGTATCTTTTTTTTTGGCAACGGAGTTTCACTCTTGTTTCCCAGGCTGGAGTGCAATGGCTTGATCTCAGCTCATCACCTCTGCCTTCCGGGTTCAAGCAATTCTCCTGCCTCAGCCTCCCGAGTAGCTGGGATTACAGGCATGCACCACCATGCCTGGCTAATTTTGTGTTTAGTAGAGAAGGGGTTTCTCCATGTCAGTGAGGCTGGTCTTGAACTCCTGACCTCAGGTGATCTGCCCGCCTCGCCCTCCCAAAGTGCTGGGATTACAGGCATGAGCCACCGCACCCGACCTCATGTACAGTATCTTATGGTATCTTGTCCACTCAGAGGCAAGCCAAAGAAATATTTAGCTCCATTTTATAACTTGATTTCCATTCCACTATTTTCATTGTACTGCAATGTGAGATTAACAATTCCACCCCAAGTATTTTGAGGTGTGGGAAGCTGGATATAAAAACACCATTAAAAACAACTCTTTTCAATGGCTTCCTAAGGTTGGCTGGGCTGAAATGGCAGTTTGTGGATGCTCCGTGGCACATTACACTGCCCCTTTCTTCATATTTTTAGAAATTAAATCAGCTGATGGCAATATTGAATTCCAGGTAATTTTCTTTTCTTTTCTTTTTTTTCTTTGAAACAGAGTTTTGCTCTTGTTGCCCAGGCTGAAGTGCAATGGCACAATCTCGGCTCACCACAACCTCTGCCTCCCAGGTTCAAATGATTCTCCTGCCTCAGCCTCCCGAGTAGCTGGGATTACACGAATGCGCCACCATGCCCGGCTAGTTTTTGTTATTTTTTAGTAGAGATGGGTTTCCCCATGTTGGTCAGGCTGGTCTCGACCTCCTGATCTCTCAGGTGATCCGCCTGCCTTGGCCTCTCAAAGTGCTGGGATTACAGGCATGAGCTACCATGCCCAGAGAATTCCAATTTTTATGGTGAATGAATTCCACTCATACTGTTCTTCAGTCTGCCCAACAGATATTACATAACACATTTGTGTGCCATGATGGGCCTTACATATATTGACTCATGTAATTCTCACAACTTTATGAGGTGGTATTAGTCCGATTTTCACACTTCATGAAATTGAGGCACAAAAGTATGTCAGGCCTCTGCTCAAACTGAGTAGTTTTCCTGTCATACTTCAGTGTGGCCTATAGGGCCTAAGTGATCTAGCCTTTTCTTATATTGTCTTCCACTCTCATCCTTGTTCACAGAGCTCCAGCAATTCTCATGTTTGGAGGTCCGCAAGGCAAAACTCAACTTTATTTCCCGTTCCCTTAGTATGGAAAGCTATTTCCCTATCTCTGTGTGTCTTGCTTTTACATCATTGCTCTGCTTTCCTCAAAAACTTTCCCCTCTTATCCCCATCACTGTCCTCATTTTGATTCTTTATATGCATTTATCCTTTCCTGATTTTATACTGTTTATCTTTTTATGGTTTGTTTTCCCCTCTAAAACATAAATTCCATGTAGGTGAGGGCTTTGTTCAGTCCTACTTTCCTAGGCCCTAGAATCAAACCAGTATTGGGTGAGTGGATACTGAATGAAGCTTTACCTAAGTGTTTTGTCTTTTAGTTAGTTTCAGTGGTTAAATCTCAGAAAGCTTAACAACAATTCTAAGCATGTCTTTATGATAAAAGGTTAAAAACTGTATTATTGGGATAATTTTTCTTTTTTTATTTATGTTTACCTACAAGTCTGTGGAAAGTATACTCAAAAGATAGCAGACCAGGTAGGCTTAAGTTACTTTTACAAAACAGTAGAAATACCTTCAACTATTTAGCACTGATGAACTTACAACTGAGGACATGTGGACTCTACTAAGAAACTAATGATGAAATTCATAATTGGGCATGGTGGCACATGCACCCAGCTACTCAAGAGGCTGCAGCTTGAGTCCAGGAGTTCAAGGCTGCAGGGAGCTATAATCATACCACTGTACTCCAGCCTGGGAGACAGTGAGGACTTGGCTCTTAAAAAAAAAAAGGAAAAAAATTGATAATGACAATTTATAATGGTCAGTCCTATCTACCAGTCTAAATGAATGTTTAAAAATTTTCATATACTGCACAGAAGTAGATGCAGTCTTAATGCTAGGTAAGGGTAAACAAGCTGAAATAGCAGCCAGTGACTTCAGAGACCATGAAACCAAAGTTAATCTTCTAAGTCCTTTTAATTGTTCTTATAAACTAGCATAAGATACAAACTTAAGTAGTACACATGAGTTTTATAATTTACTAATCTCTGGCAGATAGCTAAGCATAGCACATCAGAGTGTAACACAGTGTGAGGGAAGTAAAGTATACAATGACATCTTCTATTCTGGACCTAAAATTCAATAGAGAAAGAACTACTTGTAGTCACTGTGGTTACAGAAGGTTTCATGGAGACATTGAAGATAAAGCTCTACTTAGTAACAAATAGGTCTTAAATGATAAAAATGTGGGCCTTCGAAGAACTAAAGATACCTATGTGTGGCAGTCCAGAAATTACGAGGAAAATGACTTCCCTTCATGGGTCACATCAGCAATTTTTTTTTTTCCCTTTTGAGACGGAGTCTCGCTCTGTTGCCCAGGTTGGAGCGCAGTGGTGTGATCTAGGCTCACTGCAACCTCCGCCTCCCGGGTTCAAGCAATTCTCATGCTTCAGCTTCCCGAGTAGCTGAGATTACAGGTGCCTGCCATCACGGCTGGCTAATTTTTGTATTTTTAATAGAGACAGGGTTTCACCATGTTGGCCAGGCTGGTCTCAAACTCCTGACCTCAAGTGATCTGCTTGCTTCAGCCTCCCAAAGTGCTGTGATCATAGGTGTGAGCCACTGCGCCCAGCTACCTCGTCAATTCTTAATCTATAAACCATGGATAGGCTTCGGGAGAACCCAAGAACCAATGACATCTGTTGGTAAGTTTTATGTGTGCAGTTTTCTACAGAGAGAGTCAACAGCATATATATTTCCAAAGAAGTCTGTGGTGCAAAAGAGTTAAAGAGTTTATTATGTTAGAAGTCCTTGGGCAATCAACTTGGAAAAGGGTAGATTGAGAATGGGGACTGTCTAGATCAGGATAATGTTGAATTTGACCCTCACTTGAGGCTTTTGTGCAGAGGATGAGAAAACGGCAATTTCAAGGGTTAATTAGAAATTAACACCAACATGACTTGATGAGTGAGATGTGAAATGTGAAAAAAACATCAATGATGAAATCAAGCTTCTGACTTGGCAGCAGTGAGCATACCAAGAGTTTCAGGCTTGGAAGATGAATAAAGTTGGGAGCATTCTGTTTTTTATGAGAGTGCCCATGGGAGGTACAGGGAGAAATGGACAGTTGAAAGTATAAGTCTAGCCAGGCACAGTGGCTCATGCCTGTAACCCTAGCACTTTGGGAGGCTGAGATAGGAGAATTACTTGGGTCCAGGAGTTTGAGACCAACCTGGGTGACATAGTGAGACCCCATCTCTACAAAAAATAGAATTAGCTCGGCATGGAGCTGCAAGATTATAGTCTCTGTTACTCGAGAGGCTGAGGTGGGAGAACTGCTTGAGCCCAGGAGGGAAGGCAGCAGTGAACTGAGATCACGCCACTGCACTCCAGCCTGGGCAACAGTAAGACCCTGTCTCGAAAAAAAAAAAAAAGAAAATACAAGTCTGGAAAAACATAGCTGGGAGTCAGTAATGCCAGTTTTAGCTGAGGGAGTTAAGATTATTCAATCAGTGTTAAGGAAGAAACTCAATAGTAGTGACCACCAATACTTAAGGAAAAAAGGATAAAATAAGAGGAATGATAAAGGCTGGCTGAAATATCTTGGTGTCTAACCTAAGAAAGGAGAGGTTAGGTGTTCATATTTATTAATATGGATCTAGAAAAGCATTTATTCACTAATATATTTTGTGTTCTCTAATTTAAAATTACCTTTTCATTTTGCTTGATTTTCCTTCAGCTAAATTAGAACTTTGTAGTTTTTCCCCTAAAAAATTCAATGGCATTCTCTGATTTTCTTGTCAGCCTGCTTCAAGGAAATCCATGTGTTCAAAATGCTTGCTCGCAGTTTGCTCCATACCAAATGGTTGTTTAATCCAAATATCTGAGCAGCAAATTGAGCTGATCCTTCTGGAGAAAGTATGGTTGAACAGCCAAGACCTATTGGTTCAGAAAGGAAAAGACAGAAAATTGAGCTCAATAAATAATGAAAATACAACCTCATAAAAAATTTTATACTCAGAGCAGTCCTGCCACAGAAAATAAAAAGCTACTGCATTATTCTAATCTAAAGTAGAATCTCTAGAAGAACTGTCTTTAATACTGGAGTGGTAAAGTGATAAGAGGAAAAGCAGTCAGTATTACCTGCCATGAAGAGACATTTTATATATATCATCTATCACCCTTCTTACAGAATTCACTTACAAAGAAACTTACCTTTTTGAAAGTTCTGTTCACATACACTATCCCTTTCAATCCCTGGCGAAGAGCAACTGAAGTAAAATAAGGGTCAAGGTAAGTGGCCAGAAGTACCTGTTCTTAGACAAACTTGAGCTATGTTGTTTTGATAATTTTCTAACTAATCTTTCTGTCTACATCTGAACTATTTTAACATTTTTAAGCAGTAAAAAAAATCAAATCCACAGAATAATTTTAGGAAATGTCAAGTTATAAATAAATAGTAATAAGATCCAAGACAGCAGAATAAGAAAGTAACATCCTAGGGGCCACATGTCTGCCCAGGCAGAGTGTCTTGAGGTGGTACTATTATGTCTAGTGTTTGCTAGCAGGGACTATATCCAAAAGCTCCATTTTCCCAATATTCTTGGAATTCATCAGGCTCTTTGACTACCATTATCCACAACAAGAACAGAGTCAAATACAAATCACAAGGCCAATTTACTAATTTGTATTAACACATTATTTTATGGAGCTCCACCCATTACTGTGTGGTATTGGTCAAGTTACTTCATGTTAATTTATTCTCCTCTTCTGTGAGAAGGGAATTGTAACTAGTAGCTACCTGATGTGACACTTCAATGAGTTAATAATATAAAGTGCTTAGAGCATTGCCTGGTACACAATATGTGCTCCAAGAATGTCAACCATTATTGTTAGCACACTGGGTAGAGTGCTCCACTCTAATAGTTGAAATAACCTGTGTCTCCTGCCTAGGACACCCTTTCTGGTAAAAGAATAGCTTAAATTGTAAAAAAAAAAAAAAAAGTTATCTAGTGAGCATGACATCAGAGATGAGAAATATGGGCAGTCTTCAGGATTTTACGCAGGTTACTGTAGAACTACTCCTCAAAAGATTCTAGTGATCATTATGTACAAGTATTCCAGATTATCTGTCACTCCTGAAACGGCACTACTATAAAAATTGCCAATTTTTTGCTCATCATGCTCCCCTTTTGTAAGAATCTATACAATTCTGGCATAAATTTAGTTACAGCTTTATTTGTAGCTGCCGATTTTTAGCTTCAGACATTTGTATAGTCACATCTTGTTAAAGATAGCTTAGGCTATCTTTAATTCTCAGAGCCTATAAAAACAGCAAAGGGAATAAAGGAAATAGGCATGAACACACAAGGCCAGATAACAGCAGTAACATTTTGGCAATTGAAAGGCAAATAGAGTAGTAGCTAACTTAGCAGACCAAGAAAATGTAATCAAAATTAGCTGGGCGTGGTGGTGCATGCCTGTGATCTCAGCTACTTGGGAGGCTGAGGCAGGAGAATCGCTTGAACCTGGGAGGCAGAGGTTGCAGTGAGCTGAGATTGCGCAATTGCACTCCAGCCTGGGCAACAAGAGCAAAACTCCATCTTAAAAAAAAAAAAAAAAAAAAGAAAAAAAGAAAAAAGAAAAAGAAAGAAAACTTAATCCTAAACTGAAAGGAGGGAAAGATAAGAAGCAACATGATTGACATTACAGAACTTCCCGAAAGGTTGACTGACTAAATTAGTGGCACTAGATACCTTTGGAAGGGAATAGGGACTAATAAGATGACCGACTCGAAGTCTAAGAAGCAGCTAGGCTCTCATATCTCCTTCTCCACTCCATCTACCCAAGTAACTGCCTCTTTAAAGCACTGTAGCAATTTTTTTTCTTTTTAAACATTATTTATTTTTTTCTGAGACAGGGTCTCGCTTTGTCATCCGGAGTGCAGTGGTGCCATCACAGCTCACTACTGCCTCAACTTCCCAGGCCCCTGTGATCCTCCCACCTTGGCTTCCCAAGTAGCTGGGACTACAGGAGTGTGCTACCATGCCTAGCTAATTTTTGTATTTATGGTAGAGACGGGGTGTTGCCAGGTTGCCTAGGCTGAGCTCAGGCAATCCACCAATCTCTGCCTCCCAAAGTGTTGGGATTATAGGCATGAGCCACCATACCAGACCTTTAATTTTTCTGAAGGTAAAACAGACTTCACAGTCTAGGTGTCTTTGAACCAGGGGACACCAGACACTTTTGTTCTCTGAGTAATTCTGGTCAACGCTTAAGAAAATACCTAGACATTAATGTGAGGGGTTATTTGAAGAACAATCACTACCAGATACACCCCACAGTGAAGCCCAATTTTGACACACACCACCCATTTGAAGTTTCCAATTGGTTTTTTATAGTACTCCACTCTTAAAAAAGCAAACAGCCAAGGATTACCAGACAGCTGAAGAAAGTAACTATATGCAACAGACTATAATCATCTTCTCCAGAGAACAAAAAAGAGCTCTTGGAAATTTAAAAACACACAAACACAAACGACAATAACAACAAAAGCCCAGAAAACAAAAACCAAAGGAAATACGAAAACATGGTGTAAAAAAAACCAGAGACAGTGGTTCCAGGCTGAGGTGGGAAGATTGCTTGAGCCCAGGAGTTCAGGACAAGCCTGGGCAACATACGAAGTGCCCATCTCTACAAAAAGTAAAAAAATTAGCCAGGTGTGATGGTGTGGGCCTGTAGTCGTAGCTACCTGGGAGGCTGAGGTGGGCGGATCACATGAGCCCAGGAATTTAAGGGTCCAGTGAGATATGATCACGCCACTGCGCTCCCACCTGGGCAACAGAGCAAGATCCTGTGTCAAAAAACAAAAACAAAAACACCTGTATCCAAAATGAAGGCCGGGTACAGTGGCTCACGCCTGTAACCTCAGCACTTTGGGAGGCCAGGGCAGATAGATCACCTGAGGTTAAGAGTTCAAGACCAGCCTGGCCAACATGGTGAAACCATGTCTCCGCTAAATATACAAAAATCAGCCGGGCGTGGTGGTGCACACCTATAATCCCAGGTACTTGGGAGGTTGAGGCACCAGAACCGCTTGAACCTGGGAGATGGAGGCTGCAGTAAAGCCGAGATTGTGCCATTGCACTCCAGCCTGGGCAACAGAGCCTGACTCCATCTCAAGGAGGAAAAAAGAAAGAAAAACTCAACGCAAGGGCTGGAATGTAAAATTGAGGAAATATTCCAGAGAGTATAGCAACAAGACAAACAAGTAGAATAGAAATCAAGGGAAGCCCAAATTTGAATAAATTCAAAAATGAGAGAAGAGAGAATATGGAGGGGTAAGAAAATTAAATAATTCAAGGAAAATGGGGACTAAGAAATTAGAATTTCAGATTAAAAGAGCCCACCGAAAGTCCATAATGCAAACAGACTCAGCACGTCACATCTGTGTAAAATTTAAGAACAATGAAAACAGACCAAAGATCCTGATAGTTTCCAGAGAGAAAATTCCTGAGAAACCTAGAATCAGACTGGTGGAAAAGCAATGGAGTCCTCAACTGTGGATGCTTGGAGACAGTGGAATAATAATGCTCCCAAAATTCCAAGGCAAAATGATTTTCAGCATAGGATTCTAATTTGATAATAAGTATAGGGCTTCAATATAAACATTTCAGATATACAAGGTATCAAAATTTACCTTTTGTATTCTTTTGCCCCTAAGTTCAAGAATGTACTCCAACAAAATAAAAATAAAACAAGTAAGGGGAAAACATGGGAGATCCAAGCCTAGAGAAAGGCAAAATGGGTCTCTAAAATGATGGTAAAGGGGGATCCTAAGACAACAGCAATACAGGATGCCTAGAGAAAAGCCAGTCCACTGGACCAGGTTGGAGGGCTCAAGGACTTGGTATACTTGACATGTATCAAGACTGGATATATACAGCTATGACAAAAGTTAGGGATTTCAGTAATAAAGCAAATCTGCTCCTACTGAAATAATATTGACCCTCATAAACTGCAGAACGTCAGATCATATCTTGGTCTATGATGAACAAACCACAACACGTGATCCAGTTCCATCAGCCAAAAGGGGACTTCCTTATGTTATTATCTTTTATCCCCAATTTTTTATTTTGAGACGGAGTCTCACTCTGTTGCCCAGTTTGGAGTCCAGTGGTGCAATCTTGACTCACCTCCGTCTCCCAGGTTCAAGTGAGTCTCCTACCTCAACCTCTGAGTAGCTGGGATTACAGGTGCTCACCACTATGCCCAGGTAATTTTTGTATTTTTAGTAGAGATGGGGTTTCACCATATTGGCCAGGCAAGTGTTGAACTCCTGACCTCAAGAGACCCAGCCTCCCAAAGTGCTGGGATGACAGGCATGAGCCACTGCACCCAGCCTTATCCCCAATATTTAAGAATAAAATTTTATTCTCTCTACAGAAGTAACATGATCACATTTACTTTAAAAAAAACTCAATACCATGAATTCTTGGGAAAAAAATATCCAAACTTGATTTTATTACAGATCTCACCATCAGTTTATAGAAAATATAGGGAATGGAAGAGCATGTTTACCACCACCTAGAAATGTAAGAAGCCAAATCCAAAACGTAGAAAATTCTATCGAAAAAATGAAAGGGAAGAAGGGAGGATGAATTGTTATGTATTAAAAAAATTAAGAGGTTATCAACTAAATGCAATATAAGGACTGCGGTGGATCTGAACAAACAGATGAGACAATTAGAAAACTTGGACACCAACTAAAAATTGTATCTTAAGAAATTACCACTACTCTTTCTTAGGTGTGAATATGGTATTGAAACTGTGTCCCCAGGAATTAAAAGACACCAACAACTAACAGAAATTCTTGAGTTTGCAGAATGGTAGATTAAACAATATGGCCAACTAGAGTCTGCACAGAACCAGCTGACTGATGTCACAGGCCCAATTTCCACCACATTTCATTCTAACTCCCCCAAATTTACACACATGATCCATGAAATAACACGAAGAGATAACTGCACATGCCCAAGGACTTTCTAGACCTCCCCTTTCCTTCCACCAATCACCTACTAATCCCAGAATCTATCCCCTAAACCTTTCCTAGTAAGATTACTGCCATAAAGCCAGCACAGGGGGACAGATTTGAGCTGGACTCATGTGTCCTTATTGGTCAACTTGAAAGAGGAAGCCTTTCTCAAAAACCTGGTGGCTTAGATAGTACCGGTTCCTAATGCATCAGAAGTGGGCCCCTTTTGTTCTGTAACAACATCATGATTATGATTTAAAAACTAGAGCCCGTATTACTTAAACGTGTAATTAAGTATAAATTACTATAACGTCTGAGTTCTGCTTTAAAATAATCCAGCAGGAGATGGCTGTAGACACAAGATGTTAATTGCTGAAGCTATGTCATGGGTACATGAGATTTTATTATGCTATTCTGTCTACTGTTGTGTATCTGTTAAATGCTTGTAATGAACAGTTTTTAAAAATTCAATGTGTCTTACCACTGGGCAGTCGAAGAGAAGACCACACATCCTGAGCTCCCCAGTCTGGTGTGAGGGGAGGACAGCTGATAACTGGATATGCAGTGTTCCCAGACATCACTGGTCCCAAACCATTACTTCTGCCTGCCACTGCCACAAATACAGTAGGAATGCCATCCCCTAGGGAAATAACAAGTTTATAATTATGCTAAACATTCAAAAGAGATTTAAAGACAGGGTTTTTTTTTGGCGGGGGGAGGTTTAAGGCCTATATGTTTTAATGACTTGAGGTCCTTGAATAGTCTTCTCTGAAAAAACATAAAAGACACTATTATTACACATATATCAAAATAGAAGGTTACTCTGCCATTTACTATAAGTCAAGTAATAAAGTAGCTGGAATAGGTTTGGCTGTTTTTGAGATCTACATTATAAAGGGGATAGCAGGGTGTTAGTGAGGGAATAGCTCATGGGCCTCTTCTATTGCTGCATAGGCTGGCCAAAGTGAAGAATGACACCATCTGAACAGGTGTCTTTCCTGACTGGGTGGTCCGTCAACCGGTGCAGGGAGACCAGTTAATATAGACCAGGGGTTTAGGGACACGTCCTGAAGTAAGAGTTGAAGGAAAGTTTAATTAATATAGTGTCCCCAAATTTTTAAGGCCCTTTGATATATTTTTTTAACATAATCTCTTAAGCAATTCATTCTTTGATAAATTTATAAATTATCCTTGTTTGTTTCCTAAAGCAGAGATTTCTAACCTAGAATCCAAAATTATATGTATTTGCAATTTTCTGAAAAGAGTTCTAGAATTCATTAGCTATCAAAGGAGTCTGAGTTCCCCCAACCTCCCACTCTTCCCAAATTAGTAACTACACTTCCATAGCAATGACCTGTAGATGAAATAATCAACTTTTTTTTTCAGTTGAGAAACATTTGGTTGTAAACCCAGGACTCCACTATTTTAGATCACTGCTATACCATTATTTTTTATGTACTGTATTCTGAAACTGTTCCTTAATTTCCTATCTGACTGCCTCCCAGGAAAGGGTGGCAATTAAAGATTCGCAGGAGAACCTGCTGTTTCAACCTCCCACCTCCTGTAACTGTGGGGGCCTATTTTCTATTGAAGCGTTATTAGAAGCAATGCTCCAGGGCCTTCTTACAAGGTAAGGATGGCAGAGGTTCTCATTATTCTAGTCTTTGTTTTCTTTTCATACTTGCATTTTTAATTCTTTCTCCCTGCTCCTTTCTTTTCTAAGCTCCTAGAGTACCTTAAGCTCTTTGGAGGTGAGCATTAAGAAAGAAAGCCCAGTAGTCGGCCGTGATGGCTCATGCCTGTAATCCCAGCACTTGGGGAGTCCAAGGTGGGTGGATCATGAGGTCAGGAGATCAAGACCATCCTGGCTAACATGGTGAAACCCTGTCTCTATTAAAAATACAAAAAATTAGCCGGGCGTGGTGGCGGACGCGTGTAGTCCCAGCTACTCAGGAGGCTGAGGCAGAAGAATGGCGTGAACCTGGGAGGTGTAGCTTGCAGTGAGCTGAGATGGCGCCACTGCAACTCCAGCTTGGGCGACAAAGCGAGATGCCGTCTCAAAAAAAAAAAGAAAAAAAGAAAGCCTAGTATATCATGTGTTTTTCCCTTAGAAAAGTGACAAAGCTCTTTTTCAGCATTATTAGTCTAAAGTGTGTAATTTCTTTTAGCAAAATAAGAAATACCTGAAATGTCCATATTACTTGTGGTTTACCTTCATACTCAGCTTTAATCCTCAGGGTTTCATCTGGTCCTTTATGCGCAGATGTTATTCGAAGTTCACATGGAATGCCAAAATTTCCACAGGCCTTCTTGATTTTTTCACAGTGACCAAGATCAGAAGTAGAGCCCATCAACACTACAACCCTGCACTGACTTTCTGATTTCAAAAGCAACTGAAGAAAAAATACATGGATATGAAAAGAACATAAAAACAAAAATGAATAAATGAGCTAGAGTTTGTAGTGAAATTACATCTGGACACAATATTTTCTTTCTTAACAGATCAAATTTAAGACAGAGACAAACAGAACAAAAAGACAGCATCTATTTTTTAAAATAATCTTAATATATAAAGGAAAGTGGTCTTCATCATTAAGACTTAAAGAATTCAATTTTTATGAGACAAATTATGTTTATTTAAAATAAACAGTAAAGATACTCAAAATCTTTTAATTAATATTCAGGAAATTATAATACAAAATATTTCATCCTAAGACCTTTAGTGCACTTTGTTTAATGGATGCTTTTCTTTTCTAAGCTCCTAGAGTACCTTAAGCTCTTTGGAGGTGAGTATTAAGAAAGCCTAGTGGCCAGCAGTGATGGCTCACGCCTGTAATCCCAGCATTTTGGGAGGCCAAGGCACACTTCTGATTAGTCAAATCAGAAGTCATGTTTTAAGTCTTTGTAAGTTAATTGCTTGGAACTCAAAATATATATATATTCCTATGAGAATAATGTTCTCAAATGTGATTATGACCCTTGCATAATCACAAACCCCATTCAACTCCCAGAATTAGAGTAATACCATAAAACTTAAAGTAACATTTAAAGTCACACAGAGTTCCATCCATCCCATGCTAATAGAACTCTGAGTAGCTGTGGAGGTGAGTAGGAAATATAAGGTTTCTCCTGCGGGGTAGGGAGGAGACAGATTTCAGATTTCCCCAACAGGATCTGGGAGGTATGTATTGGCCAGCTTAACAGCAAGGAGTTCCAGTATACTAGTAAGGATTGCCCAGCTGATACATTTCCTAAAAGTGTTCCTCACTTTCAAAGTCACTGAAAAGCCGGGCGCGGTGGCTCACGCCTGTAATCCCAGCACTTTGGGAGGCTGAGGCAGGCGGATCACGAGGTCAGGAGATCAAGACCATCCTGGCTAACACGGTGAAACCCCATCGCTACTAAAAATATAAAAAATTAGCTGGGCGTGGTGGCGGGCGCCTGTAATCCCAGCTACTCAGGAGGCTGAGCCAGGAGAATGGCGTGAACCTGGGAGGCGGAGCTTGCAGTGAGCTGAGATCGTGCCACTGCACTCCAGCCTGGGTGACAGGGCGAGACTGTGTCTCCAAAAAAAAACTAAATAAAACAAAGTCACTGAAGAGAAAAGCACTATACTCTCCCATTTTTTTCTTTTGAAACAAGATTTTCTTAGAAGAAAAACACATAATACATAATACAGTACAGTTTCACTATAGAAGGTTTACCTCTACTCTCTCTGCAACCCACTCAAAGTTTTTCTTTACCATTTGGAGCCCTTCAGGAGTTACTTCTTTGAGGTCCCGATAAGACTAGAAAATAAGATAGAAAGTTTAGAAAACAAGTATCTCTTGCTACCTGAAACTATCTGGTTTCTGAGTTTTGGGGAGGGATTATGAAGAGCTTGTATAGCAAGGGATACTTCTGAAAATGCATCTTTTCACTTCCTGAATTAAACTACAGAAAGTTCCAAAGTAAAGTATACTTTTATTTTCTCTTAAGTGTTTTCTGTACTAGCAACTACAATTAACTGCCTTGAAAATTTTTATATATTAAGTATAGAAAGGGTCTTGCTCTAATTTGGTTATTTTTTATTTTAAATACATGTGCAGAATGTGCAGGTTTGTTACATAGGTATACATGTGCCATGGTAGTTTGCTGCACCATCAACCTGTCATCTAGGTTTTAAGCCCCATATCTGTTAGGTATTTGTCCTAATGCTCTCCCTCCCATTGTTCCCCATCCTGCAAGAGGCCCCGGTGTGTGTTGTTCCCCTCCCTGTGTCCATGTGTTTTCAGTGTTCAACTCCCACTTATGAGCGTGAATATGTGATGTTTCGTTTTCTGTTCCTGTGTTAGTTTGCTGAGGATGATGGCTTCTAGCTTCATCCATTTCCCTGCAAAGGACATGATCTCATTCTTTTCTTTTTCTTTTTCTTTTTTTTTGAGACAGAGGTTCGCTCTATCAACCAGGCTGGAGCGCAGTGGCACGATCTTGGCTCACTGCAACCTCTGCCCCCTGGGTTGAAACAATTCTCTGCCTCAGCCTTCCGAGTAGCTGGGATTACAGGCGCCCACCACCATGCCCAGCTTATTTTATTTTATTTTTAGAGACAAGGTTTCACCATCTTGGCCAGGCAGGATGGTCTTGAACTCCTGACCCTGTGATCCACCCACCTTGGCCTCCCAGAGTGCTGGGATTACCGGGGTGAGCCACCGCGCCTGGCCAATCTCATTCTTTTTTATGGCTGCATAGTATTCCATGGTGTGCATGTACCACATTTTCTTTATCCAGTCTATCACTGATGGGCATTTAGGTTGGTTCCATGTCTTTGCTATTATAAATAGTGCTGCTCCTGTGCACGTGTCTTTACAGTAGAATGATTTATATTCCTTTGGGTGTATACCCAGTAATGGGATTGCTGGGTCAAATGGTATTTCTGGTTCTAGATCCTTGAGGAATCACCGCACTGTCTTCCACAATGGCTGAACTAATTTGCATTCCCACCAACAGTGTAGAAGTGTTCCTATTTCTTCACAGCCTCTCCAGCATCTGTTGTTTCCTGACTTTTTAATAGCAGCCATTCTGACTTGTGTGAGATGGTATCTCATTGAGGTTTAGGTTTGCATTTCACTAATGATCACTAATGATGAGCTTTTTTTCATGTTTGTTGGCTACATAAATGTCTTTTTTTGCGAAGTGTCTACTGTTTTTTATAGGAGCAGAAATGGAGCCTGGTAATATCCAGGAGACTTGGGATAGAGTCCCAGATCTGCCTGACTCTAGTAATTGTGAAGATACCCATTCTCTTAAGACCCTTAGTTTTCATTTAGCCAAAGATAGTACTTGCTGTTATTGTTGTGAGAAGGTTATTAAGGTAACAGATGACAAATTTGCTTTATAAATGTAAAGTATTATTCCTATTATTCTTATATTAAGATACCAGAGATATTTATCTTTAAAAATAAACAGCAATCAACAAAACGGGTTCCTATCATTAGGAACAATAATTTGCTTTTTCCCCTCATCTCTCCTTTCTCCTCTATCTCAGCTTGACCTCAAAAAGGATAAAAAACCTGACACATTCTCTACCTGTTTGTCTTTCTGTTGGCTTCGATCTCCTGATGGCCAGAGTCTCCAGGAATCATTGTCAATAACATCAGCAAGAACAATTTCTTTGGTGGTTACATCAACACCAAATTCAATCTGGAAACAGCATGTCAACAAAGTTTTCAAAAACTATTCTATGAAAGCATCTCTCAACTCTAACCTTTATTTTCAAATCCCATTGTTTTATCTGTACCTTCATATCAACCAGTGTACAATTCTGGGGCAACCAGGATTTCTCCAGTATTTCAAATATAGCCTGTGTAGCATGACTCATGATATCCACTTCAGTTTGGCCTATAACAAGTCCAGCGAAGCAAAGTTTTGCAGCAATCAGCTGTTCCTCAGACCACTGTGGGTCATTATTGGCATCATCCTGTGAATAAAGTATAGTAGCACAATTAACTTAAATCTAAAATTTTTAAACTTTTCAGAAAAGCCAACATCCTTTTCACCTTGAGCATGAACTACTTAGAAATTTTCAGCCACGGCTGGGCATAGTAGCTCACGCCTGTAATCCCAGTGCTTTGCGGGGGCTGAGGTGGGCGGATCACAAGGTCAGGAGTTCGAGACCAGCCCAGCCAACATGGTGAAACCCCGTCTACTAAAAATACAAAAAATTAGCTGGGTGTGGTGGTGCACACCGTAATCCCAGCTACTCAGGAGGCTAAGGCAGGAGAATCATTTAAACCCAGGAGGCAGAGGTTGCAGTGAGCTGAGAGGGCGCCACTGCACTCCAGCCTAGGCAACAGAGGGAGATTCCGTCTCAACAAAAAAAAAAAAAGAAAAAGAAAAGAAAAGAAAGAAATTTTGAGCCAAGTGCAATGGCTCACACTGTAGTCCTAGTAATTTAGGAGGCTGAGGCAGGAGGATTGCTTGAGCCTAGGAGTTCAAGAGCAGCCTGGGCAACAAAATGAGACATCTAAAGAAATTTTTTGTTTACGATACTCCTTAATTCAAAGCAATTATTACTCATTTTTTCTTTTTTTCCTAGTTAGCTCCTGCAAGTAGAAAAAACTATTACTCTTAATTTGTCTACTCTCAATACACTTTAAAATTCAAAGTATTTAAGTGAGTAACTTATTCTAGGTCACAAAGTATTTCAAAGAATTTAACCTCTATAAACGAATTTAAACAGAATTTAAGTTTGTGATTTTTGTTTTTCCTTAGTAACAGTCATCAGACATGACAGGAAGGTCAAAGCACATTTTAATCAATCAAATCTTTCCAAAACTACAGTTCTCATAACTTCCTGACCTCACTTTTTATTAGAATTTATACAGGACTATAATTTTTTAGGGACATTATTTGATAATTCAAGAGACCTCAAAGAGGTAAGTGAAAAAAAATGAAATAATTTCATTTTATTCTAAGCTGTGTCCCAACTTTATATGACAATATCTTTATAAATTCTTCATCTATATAATCATAATACACGTTATATAACTTATTGATTAAAAAGCAACACTGATATTGCTTCCCAAGCAGATCTATGCTTAACAGCATAAATGAAGATGGTTAAAGCAGTAAAGCCTATAAAAATTCATAACCACTGATTCTTACAACCTTTATTTATATATTTTTACTTACAAGAGACATTGTTAGTATAGTTTTCCTGTATTAGAATATAAAAAGATTTCAACTAAATTTTCAAAAAATTAACTGTTAGTTTTCTTGTCCGCCTATTAGTCATCTTGGTTCAAAGGTAAGATTTTCAGATGCTTTCTTTATAAAATTTGATCTATCATTGCTAATGGAAGTGTACATTATTGATATTGGCAACTACATAAGACAAATTTTGGGATGACATTTGCAATATCAAAATATCAAAAACTTTGCTTGAATATTTAAACCTTTAGAGTTTCTAATTATAAATTTATTGCCGTGTTACAGTAAGACATAAAATAGAGGCATAAGATAATTACCTTGAAAAACAGCTCCACTTTAGGTGGGTAAAACTTATATCCTTCCTTGACACCAGGATTTCTTTTGAGAAAAGAACCAGTTGCTATTCTTCTGCAAACCCATTCAATTGGAATCATTTCACACTGGGGTGCAATGAAAGCTGTCTCCCCACATTTTCTGGTGAAGGCAGTTTTAATACCTACATATTGATAACCAAAGTTAAAAAAGGTATTGAAATAATATGTAAAAAGGTAGATCTGAGGCACAATAAAACTGTACCCTTTACAAGAAACAAAGCACCTCTATCAAAAATAAGTGTAATTTTTTTCTTTTATTTAATGTAGATGCAGTCAGTTGTTGACTTAAACAGTAAGCAGCACATGACTATACATACAATGTATTGTTCGGCCATAAAAAGGAACGAAAATTCGTGATACATCCATGCTATATAATACAGATGAAGCTTAAAAACACTAGGCTAAATGAAAAACACAAAATGCAAAAGGACAAATACTTGTGATTCGACTTATATGAGGTAACTAGAATAGGGAAATTCAGACAGAAAGAGAATGGAAGTTACCAAGGGCTGAGGAGTGGAAGGAATAGTTATTGTTTAATGCTACACAGTTTGTTTGGGATAATGAAAAAGTTCTGGAAGTGGATAATGGGATGAGTGTACAACATTGTGAATGCACATAATGCCACTGAATTGGACACTTAAAAATGGTCAAACTGGTAAATTTTATGTATTTATAACAATTTAAAAAAAAAAAAATCAGGAGCCTATTTGATGGCAGATATTGTTCTAATCATTTTAAATACATCTTTTTTGTTTAATTCTCCAAACATTTGATAAGATACTATTAAGATCAATCCAACAAAACAGGTAAGGACACTAACACACAGCAGTAATGTCAGCTAGTATTAGGTAAGGCAGGATTTCCAACCTACCCTGTCTCTAGGAGCCACCCACTTAATCACTTTGCTATATTGCCTCTCTGGGAAGTGTTATTACATCACAGTACAAAGTAATGCTACAGCATTAACATGAATTAAAATAACTCCTGGAAACCTACATGGGTTTGAGATAATGCTCATTTTCAGCCTGTATTACTATTTCCAATCCCAACCTAATCCTCTAGTCTAACTTTTATTATCAGGAAAGAATTGGGGATCTTTGCTGTTATATGTGTATCCATACATGAAGGGAGCTTCTATTTATGGAAACCCTCCACTGTGCTAAGTGTTTTGTATATGTTGTTTCATTTAACTGTGCATAAAATTTTGAGGTAGGTTTTTTTTTTTTTTGAGACAAAGTGTCACCCAGGCTGGAGTGCAGCGGCGTGATCTCAGCTTACTGCAACCTCTGACTCCTGGGTTCAAGAGATTCTCCTGCTTCAGCCTCCTGAGTAGCTGGGATTACAGGCATGCACCACCATGCCTGGCTAATTTCTGTATTTTTAGTAGAGACAGGGTTTCATCATGTTGGTCAGGCTGGTCTCGAACACCTGATCTCGTGATCCACCCACCCCAGCCTCCCAAAGTGCTGGGATTACAGGTGTGAGCCACCACGCCCAGCCTTGAGGTAGGTATTATTATTTATACATTTTACAGTGAAAAAAACAGAGGTTCAAAGAAGTAATTTCACACACTACGTCATGTAGCCATTTGGTAATGGAGCCTGGACTTGAAACACACTGTCCAAACCCTACACTATTTCCTCTGCCTTCCCTTTAAATCTGACTCATAAGATTCAAATGAAAAAGGGAAAGAATTGTGGTATGTTGCATGAACAGAAACCCTAAGGAAAAAATGAAAAGGAAGTAAAATTGTCATTTTAACCTTTTTTTAAAAAAAAAAAATTAGATGTAAGCTATTGTTTAACTTTTAATGAATGATCAGGCTCATGGATAGACAGGTGACTTTAATCAATTCTCAACTTGGGGTAGTAACTACATCGTTGGCTTCAAGAGCTCTTCTCTCAGGTCTGTTAATCATTAGTCATATATTTGCTCATTTGTCTACCAAGCTGGACATAGTAGTATCCAATTCTATTGTTACCAAAGAGATAAAGATACCAAAGAGAACCAAAAGCACATAATGAAGCTACGGTAATCACCTCTGCACAAAAAATCCCTAAAAGTTTCTAAAAGAGACTCAGTTTTGATGCCACAATGATGGCTTCTAATACTGCTAAATATGAAAGCAAATTCCATGACTGTGCATGGTGAGAAAAAATTCCCATTGTTTATCTTAGTTGTCTACAAAACTCAAAACTCTCATTCAAGTTACTAAAAAATGTTTATGTCACTTATACACTCTGAATGACAATGAACATATATAAGCTAGAATACTAATTCTAGCTAATACATATGTCCCTGTGGCCGTCCCTCTTTTAGATCGGTCCAGATTCCCATCTGCGGTTTAGCAACTGTAGTATGGTTCTTCATATACTATTATCACACTTTATGTAATTATAGTGAATTTCTGTGAGGAAATTGGGATTTCATCATCACTGAGGCGGCCAGATTTTAATTTTTAAGTAATAAAACCAAATCCACAAATTGTATAACATAGTTATGGCACAGTTATACTATTTCGATGGAAAAAGATTACTTCTTATTCATATAGTCCTTTACTGTTTGTTCCTGAGTGACAATGAGAAAAGTAGAATCCTGATTTTCTGATTCTCATCCCGATGCTCTTTCCCCTCTACTTTCTACCTTAATTTGGAACATAACTCTGGTTGTAAACAACAGTTTTAAATAGACCACTGATGGCCAACTAGATGAGGCATTTATATGACTAAGCAAGTAAAAATTACATAAGGTTTAATGGAATTCCTAATATGTACCCTAAAACTAGTCTGTTTAGAAATTTAAAAAAATTCAGGTTTACTTAGTTTCACAGTACTAGACATAAAACCTGGAAAATATCTTTCAACATTTTCTGGGAACCAATTAAGTTTTACCTATGTTAAGTGCCAAATAAAGTAGTTTAAAGATAATTATTGGAGTATTTCATTTAGGTAGCCTTCCCTGTTCCCCTGAGCACAAGACTCTCAGAGTTAAAACAGAGAAAGTCCTGGACAAACATAACACAACTGAGTCACTCTACTTGTTATAAAGTTCTGGAAATGGATAATGGGATGAGTGTAAATACACTCAGAAAATACACTAAATAAGCAAATAAAAAGTCAGGCTTTATCTTCCATTACTTAATATAATCCTGTAGCTATGTGAAACTACCAAGGGTACACAGAAAATAATCTTCTGACTGCTAACATTTTAAAGAGTTAAGCACTTTAAAAAATGTTTAAGTGAATGGAGAGAGTTAAAACTTGGGAAGCAAAAAAAAAAAAAAAAAAAAAAAAAATCGATGGAACAGGCCGAGTACAGTGGCTCACATCTGTAATCCCAGCACTTTGGGAGGCCAAGGCGGGTGGATCACCTAAGGCCAGCAGTTCAAGACCAGCCTGGCCAACATGGCAAAACCCTGTCTCTACTAAAAATACAAAAATTAGCCGGGTATGATGGCGTGCACCTATAACTGTAATCCCAGCTACCTGGGAGGCTGAGGCATGAGAATCGCTTGAACCCAGGAGACGGTGGTTGCAGTAAGCCAAGATTGTGCCACTGCACTCCAGCCTGGGCAACAAGGCAAGATTCTGATTCAAAATAAATAAATAAATAAAGTAAATAAATAGATGGAACACTTATCTGTATTGCAAAAGGAACCTAAAATTAATTTGATGCTCTCAGTCATTGGTAAGCTACCAATCAAGAAACCTTGAAATAAAAATCTTAGATTCTGTGACTTAGGAACTCTGGAAGATCCTTTAAATTTATAGCAATATACTTACTTTCACAGCATAGAGGGATTTATGATGTAGATGACAATTCAGGTTTGCAATTAAATCTTTTTCACATTAGCCAAATTGTGAAATAGGATACTTTGGAAGAGACAAAACTACTCCAGAAATGCACTGACAATGTATTTAAATTACATTACCTTGTTATTTTGTGCAAGGCAGTTACATCTAACTTAACTGAAAACAAAAGCATTAAATCCTCTTTTGAATTTAAGAAAGATTAGTGCTACTAGAAACTCTAAGAAATGAAAGGGTAACTGGGAATATTGGAATTAAAAGGAAAGTTATTAAATTAGAAAATTAGAACTGGCAAGCATGAGAAAGAAAAAGCTTTTATTTCATAGGTAAGGCTTCAAAGGTTGAATGATCCAAAGCAATGAGGCTATTTACACTGTGTGGAAAGAGTTCAAGTCTTTTCCTAGCTGAAATTTCATATATTACAGACCAACCAGCAACTGACTGAATCCCTCCAGAAAACCCCTTTATCCTAATTTCCTTCCCTTTGCTTCAAATACCCACCACACAATGTTCTGATCTTCATGTGGTCTTTTGAATCTATTTCTCTATTGAAAATAGAGCCTTCAATCAGTTTTTGAACAGGAGTGTGCTCTGGGGTTTTAGTTCAAATCTCTCACTTGGGGAATGGCAGGAGGAGAAGGTTTGGTTGCTGTCTTCAACTACTTTTCAGGGCTTTCAAGTGGAAGAGGAATTTGAAATTCTGTATTATCTCCCAGAGGCAGAACAAAGACCATTTGTATAGAATTACAGGGAGTAAATTTCAGTTCATCTGTTAGAACTGCTTAACATTAAAATGGGTTTCCTTCATAGTCAAATTCCTTAAAGTGAAGATGGCCTTGGAGAGGTAAGCAGCATAGAGAGTGCATGTGCCAGATATAAGATTACAGCAAACTTGTTAAGATTCCTTTTAATTCAATGACACTAATAATCCCAAACCAAATAAGGTGTTAAGAGTGAAGTTTAAGAGTTCTTGGTTTGATTTAAATTCACTTAGCTTTTGAAACATCTGCAAACAAGCTGTTCATCTTAATGCCAACTTCACTTGAAAAACATCAACATGCTTACCAGAGAAGGTGAGAGAGAGCTTTAAGAGAGCTGCTTACCTGCTTCCTGTAACAACTGAAAAATACAACTTGTGATTTTATTTGAGATTGCAGCTTTTCCTTCCAGGTGATTCTTTCTGGCTGCATTTCCTGCTGTAATCTGGTCCTTGGACTGCAGGAGGACTTGTCCTGGGCTGTCTAACAATTCGTAGACTTCTTTTGTTTTACCTTCATACAATTTTTTACCAATGTTCAGTACTGTGGAAATAACATGGAAATAGATCAAAATTCAGAAAGAAATTTCCTGAATGCTGAAGACTAAATCACCTAGAACAATGAATCTGTAAATATACAGTGATTAAGGAATATTAATAAAAATTAAATCATCTGTATAAAACCATATACTCTACAATGTATTTGTTGTATCATCACATTTGATACACACAATTTTTTGAAGAATTTTAATTACATAAATAACAGAAATCAAAAGGGTTGAGGGTCATGCAGTTAGGAAATATAAGAGGTAGATAAAATCCTAACTCCTCTGACATCAAATCCTGTGCTCTTTCCGTTATTAACCTGCCTCTCACGGCAGAACTGAACTAGAATTAAAATTAATTAAGACACATTTAAAGTAACGTAACTATACTAGTATTTTCACAGACACACTCACAATATAGTATCTAAACTAGCTTGCAGGAAAAAACATGCGATTTTTGCTGATATTTGCTTTTTTGCAGGCAAAATGGGAACATTCAGCCAGATGGGTTTCTTGATTTCAAGTTAATATTCAAGAGGAGGCATGACATCCCACTGAAGTTAGCACATTTGGAAGCATCCCTCTCTATTTCTTAATCCTGTCCCTGTCCCCATTAATCCTTTCTCTTCACTAACAGTTGTAAGAAATTGTGAGGAAGTGAGCACAAAGGAATCCAATTTTGATGCTGGTCACAAGACCTAAGAAGTACACAAAAGGATGATTTAGAGAAAGAGTAAAGATAATAGATGTTTAGGAACTTAAAATTTCCAAAGAGAGAAATCAGCCCTCATGCTCCCAGAACACTCTCAGTATCAACATTTTCCTAATGTATCCATGTGCCAAGGGATATACCAGTAAATAATAACTCCTGCTCTCAAGAGACCTGAGTCTGAGGGGAGCTGATATTAAGTAAGACATCATAATAACAGAATGTAATAAATACAGACTATGGGACTAGTCTAAACATTAGAAAAGGATGTCTACAAGAAAGTGACAGGTTGAGATCTGAAGAATGATCAAAATTTAGCCAAAGGAGAGAAAGAGGTAGGTAGCGTTGATGAATAAATACAAGGTGGTCAAAGTGGATTGCAGAACTTCAGTCTGGTTGGAGCTGGAGGTCTGGGTATATGTACATTGCTGTTGGGCAGGGGAAGGGGTGGGGGCTGCAGCTAAGTTGTAGAAAAGAATGGTAGGAGACAAGACTTAAGAGTTGGACAGGGGCCACATCACCAGCTAGTGGAGATAACTATTAAACAAAGTAGCTATAATTTAGTTAACAGTTGCCATTGTAGGGCACCTAATCTAGAGGATGAATCCCTATTCTCCCTAAGGTAATGTCTAGACTCATTAACATGGTTTAAAAGTCCCTTTAAGATACAGTCCTGGCTTACTGCTCCAAATTCTTATTTGTCTATTTCCTCTCTAGAACTCCAACATCTTTAATTCTTACACAACCTTCCTCCTAGGGCTTCTGACAATCTCTTCTCTCCTAGGCCTGGAAAATTTCCCTTCCATTTTGCTACACATCCTTCTGGTTTCACAAGCCATGCTGATTGAGTTTAGACTTTAACCCAAGAAGAGCTATAAGGATTTTAAGTGATGAAGCAAAACGGTATTTGGAAAGATCATTATGGCTTCTGTATGGACAATGAAGGGAGGAAGGGGTGAGTGAACAAAAACTAGAGCTTGGGAGACCAGTTAGGATGCTGTTGCAGTAACTCAAACAAGAAACATCTGGCCAGGTGCAGTGGTTCACATCTGTAATCTCAGCACTTTAGAAAGCCCAGGCAGGCAGATTGCTTTAGCTCAGGAGTTCAAGACCAGCCTGGGCAACACGGCAAAACCTCATCTCTACCAAAAAAACAAAAATTAGCCCAGCATGGTGGTATGTGCCTGTAGTCCCAGCTACTTGGGGAGGTCGAGGCTGCAGTGGGCCAAGATTTGTGCTATTTCACTCAAGCCTGGGTGATAGAGTGAGACCCTGTCTCCAAAAAAAAAAAAGGGGGGGGGGGGGGGGGAAGAAATGTCTTGGTCTAAGGAAAGAGTAGTGGGCAAAGATGCAAGATATTTAAGATAGTAGCTTTGAGAATTCAGCATGGAGGATAAGAGATGGAAGAGTAAAGAACAGTGGGCTGGACACAGTGGCTCATGCCTGTAATCCCAGCACTTCGGGAGGCCGAGGTGGGCGGATCACTTGAGGTCAGGAGTTCAAGACTAGGCTGACCAGCATGGTAAAACCCCGTCTCTACTAAAAATACAAAAATTAGCTGGATGTGGTGGTGTGCACCTGTAATCCTTGCTACTCGGGAGGCTGAGGCAGGAGAATCCTTGAACCTGAGAGGTGGAGGTTGCAGTGAGCTGAGATGGCGCCACTGCACTCCAGCCTAGGCAACAGAGGGAGACTGTCTCAAGAAAAAAAACAAAAAAACAAAAAACAAAAAACACAATGCCCAGATCAGATAAAGAAATTAACATTTATGTGTATTAATATGCAGTAAGCCTGGGCAAAGTTTGTATCTAATGCCCCTCGCCTTAATTTAGTTGAATCTGTATTACCTAGCCATTAAATAGGGAAGGCATTTCAATTAATGGGTAGAAACAACACAAGAAACAACGATATGTGACATACACAAGTGCCAAAATGATTGCTATAAATTTGCAGATGAATTCAGAAAAGATTGATGAGGACTGAAGAATGATTCATGGAATTGAAATTTAAGAGTCTGGGAAAGCACAGAATTTACACAAAGGGTAAGAAAATTCTAGGACTCTGCTGTCCAATAAGGCAGCCACTAGAAATGTAGCTATTACAAGTTGAGATGTGATTTGTTAAAATATACACTGCATTTGTTATAAAAAATTGCAAAATATCTAAACAATTTTTCATCTTGCCTCCATGTTGAAATGTATTTTGTGTATATAGAGCTAAATAAAATACATTAAAATGGGCTCACGCCTGTATTCCAGCACTTTGGGAGGCCAAGAAAGGCGGATCACTTGAGGTCAGGAGTTTGAGACCAGCCTAGCCAACATGGCAAAACCCTGTCTCTACTAAAAAATAAATTAAAAAAAAAAAATGGCCAGGTGTGGTGGACCGTGCCTGTAATTCCAGCTACTTGGGGGGCCAAGGCAGGAGAATCACTTGAACCTGGGAGGCAGAGGTTGCAGTGAGCTGAGATCTTGCCACTGTACTCCAGCCTGGGCCACAGAGCGAGACTCCATCTCAAAAAAAAAAAAAAAAAAATATATATATATATATATATATAAAATATATATATATAAAAACACATTGCATCAGTTTTTTTATTATTTTAGTTTTTAAAATGTGGCTCATAGAAGACAAATTTACATTATATTTCTATTAGCCAGCAATGTTCTGGGAAAAATAATATAAATAAAATGTATATAATGAAAAACAAACTTTGGTGATTTAACCTGACTGGAACATAGCTAAGGATTCACAGGAGAGAAAAGTCAAAGTTAAGGCTGAAGAGGTAGAAAGGATAGCAGTATTCAGGATTTGAATGAAAAGGAATTTCAGACTGGACAGACTGGATTTAACATCTCTAGAGATGTCATTGTAACACTTTGCCTTTTAGAGATCATAAAAGTGACATTTAAGAAAAATCAACCTGCCAAAGGTACACAAATGGAAAGAAGTGGAAGAGCAAAGATTTTAGAGATTTGCCAGTTTAGAGGTACAGGTACCATGATTTCAAGAAAAATTCTGGTCCTTGCCTTGAGTTTAGGGAGTTGATACTCCATATCATCTGAATCTTTTTTGCTGAGTCTACAGTTTTTTTTGTTGTTGTTGTGGTTTTGTTTTGTTTTGAGATGGAGTCTCTTTCTGTCGCCAGGCTGGCGTGCAGCGGCGGGATCCTGGCTCACTGCAACCTCTGACTCCCCTGTTCAAGTAAGTGATTCTCCTGCCTCAGCCTCCCGAGTAGCTAGGATTACAGGCATACGCCACCACGTCCAGCTAATTTTTGTATTTTTAGTAGAGCCGAGGCTTCACCATGTTGGCCAGGATGGTCTCGATCTCCTGACCTCGTGATCCGCCCGCCTCGGCCTCCCAAAATGCTGGGATTACAGGCGTGAGCCACAGCGCCTGGCCTGAGTCTACATCTTTTTAAAATCTAAATACAGTTACTTTCTATGTGGAAAAGAATGTACCCAACAGCCAAGAAAAGCAATTTGGCTCACTATACATATAGCAACTGGATGTGTGGAATAAACCAACGTTTTTTTCCAGCATAAATAGCAAGAACAATCTTTCCTGATAGTGTAACTTTTTTGCCTAAAGGTTTTGGAGTTCTTCAAAGCCATCATGGCATCAAAGACTACTTGAACACACACACACACACACACACACACACACACACACGGATGCACGCCATCATGGCATCAAAGACGACTTAAAAACACCCCCCTCCCCAGCCATCAGGGACTCAGACAACTTCAACACGCGCGCGCGTGCGCGCGCACACACATACACACCCATGACATCAAAGACTGCTTGAACACGCGCACACACACACACACCCCCAAGCTGCCGTGACATCAAAGACTACTTCAACACGCGCGCGTGCACACACACACACATCCATGGCATCAAAGACTAAACACACACACACACCATTGCATCAAAGACTACTTACACACACACACACACCCTAGAGAGGTTCTTTTTTTTTGAGACGGAGTCTCGCTTTGTCGCCCAGGCTGGAGTGCAGTAGCGCGATCTCGGCTCACTGGAACCTCCGCCTCCGGGTTCTAGCGATTCTCCTACCTCAGCCTCCAGAGTAGCTGGGATTACAGGCACGCGCCACCACGTCCGGCTACTTTTTTGTATTTCTAGTGAGAGACGGGGTTTCGCCATGTTGGCCGGGCTGGTCTGGTACTCCTGACCTCAGGTGATCCGCCCGCCTCGGACTCCCAAAGTGCTGGGATTCCAGGCGTGAGGTCCAGCCTCTAGACAGGTTTTTCAAAAGTTTCGATTATTAATCTTAGAAAGGTCATTAACCTAACGGACAAAGCAAGACTCAGGTTTTGACGAATCAACACTGATTTGCTTGTATTTTGCAACAGCTATTGATTTTAAATAATGCTTCCAGGCGCCTTTCCACCCCTTTGTCATTTCTCGTTCTCCTCTACTTTGCTCCTTCTCCCCATCCCGGAGGCAGTAAAGTTCGGGGAGGCCCGGGAGCGCCTGGGCCACGTGTGCGCCCGCACCGCGGCCTAGAGGCGCGGCTGCAGGGAGGCCGGGCAGAGCTTCGCAGCCCGCCCGTGGCCGCGAGCTCACAGCGAGCTCACGGCCTGGGGGTCAGGAAGACCGCTAAGGACCCAGAACCCTGCTACTCACCCTCAGCTGTCGCCATTATCCTGAGTGGGCTGAAGACTGCGACCGCGCCGGGAAGCAAGGCAGAACTCTAGAAAAGAGGGGTGGTCAGAGAGCTTCGCTGGGCGGGGAAGGAGGCGCGGCCCACAGACACGCCCCCTGGCGGGGCCGCGCGACCCAGAGCCACTCTTTTTAAGCTACTAGACACCGGCCTAACCCGGAGGGGTATTGGCGGAGACCGAAACGTGGATCTGGGACAAAACATCTTCCCGTTGGCTTCCCGCCGCGCAGGCGCAGCGATGCGACCCCGCCTCCGGGCCGCCCCGCGCTGGCGCAGTGCCGGGACAGGCGAAAAGTGGCGCGCACTGGCAGCCCCTCCCTACTCTGCGGAAGCTCGCATACCCCGGCCCCTTCTCCGCAGCGGGAGCGGCTCAGAGATTGGAGCATACCAAGTCGTGACGGCCTGGGGGGAAGCATGTAGGGAAGGGAATATGAAGGCTAAATGCTCTGAAAGAGAAATGACGTTAAGTCCGTTATTCCCATTACGTTAGTGTTGGGTGCTGGCAAATAACGGAAATTTCCACGTGCAGCAAATACAGCTTTCCAGAGAGCTCTTGGGGGAAGACTAGCTCCACCCTACAGCATCCGTGACCCCTCCCCTCAGCCGCGAGACCGCCCCTCCGCCCTCGCTTGTTGGTGGGCTCGGAGGGGGCGGAGCAGGGCCGAGCTGGCCACGCCACCCAGGGACAGCGCGCGCCGCCGCAGTAGTTGGGGCCAGCCTCGGGAAGGAAGCGCCTGCGGCGAGCGCGAGCTTCTGAGCTCCACGGGCCGAGCTGGCGGCTGGTTGGTGCTTACACCTTGGCCGCAGCGGCAGGTCCCTCCACGTGCTTTCGGCGGCGACATGGAGCTGGAGGAGTTGGGGATCCGAGAGGAATGTGGCGTGTTCGGGTGCATCGCCTCAGGAGAGTGGCCCACGCAGCTGGATGTGCCGCATGTGATCACTCTGGGACTCGTGGGGCTGCAGCACCGGTAAGCAACAGGGTGGGGGTGGCGGTGGCGGAGGCGTGCGTTTCCATCTCTCGGAGCCGCTTCAGTAGGCGTTCTCATGAGCGCCCGAGGGCTCGGAGGACCGACCTCTCCGACCTGAACCGGTACCTGCCTGTGGCATCGACCGGGTTGCCTAGGCGTGCACGAGGGGCACCTCGCTTCCATGAACTTTAGCCTGTCCTGCCCACCCTCCCAGCCACTCATGCCCTTTAGGGGCTTTCTGCTTCCCCGCCCCCCGGTCTGTGCACCCCTCCAGAGGCTGGCCAGCTTGGAAAGCGCCGGTTTGCTTGGTCTAGCTGGGTCAGGGCTCCTCCCCGACTGCATGCGGGTTCTAGTATCCCCGAGCCTGTGGCTGCTCCTGTAAATAGGCTAGTGTGGCGTGGCGGCCAGTCCAGGTCCTTGAACACCTAAAGGTTTTCGCGCGGGGCCTCCAACCACCACAAGCTTTTGTTTGCAAGGGCAGAGCTATTGAGCAGATTATGGATTTGAAAGTAGTTATCGCTCTGAGAACTTGAGGATCCTAGACTTCAGACCCAGGGAAAGATGACTAGTTGATGTTGAGAATAACTACCGGTAGTAGATCTCATATAAATTAAGTGAAAATAAACCAACCATAGGGAATAATGCATCTGGAAAAGATTCGTTGGTAGACGTCTTGGAATGAATGAAAACCTTGGTAATATGACAAAAATTAACTCCCTTCTTCAAAAGGGGGACAGGGGAGTATTGTCTCTATGCCAAGATCCATACACTTGATTTTGAAAAATTGAGAGATCCCTTCGAGTTAAAAAAAAAAATTACTTCGGTGATCTTTCCTTTTCTTACTACCTGACTTAACTGGAAGTTGATATAAATTATTACACTAGGTTTAGAAAAACAAACCTAGGTTTGATATTCTCACTGAAAGTATTACAGTTTCCATAAGGCAATACAGTAGTAACAACTTCTACTACAGTTAAGGAACTTGGCAATAACACTTAACAGCAAAATGGGTGCAACATGTATAAACGCATTCCAAATGATTAGCTTTCCCTCAACCAAACTTAAACTAGAAGTACTTTTTGCTGTTTTCATTGTCCCAAATACTTGAATTTCAGTTTCACATTTTGTGTATTCCTTGTTTACTAAGAGCTGAGAATGTGGGAAGCATCAAAAGGAATATTTTTAACTTGCATAACTCCAGTCTTGGATAATTGTGGGTTGACCATAATAGATTTCTTGTTTAAAAAAAAATTATTGAGAAAATTAGTTATATAATCCAAGGAGAAAGTAAACTCTTGATTATGTGGTAGTTGTGAGCCACATTAGTTTGTAACATTCTTAGAAGTTATGGCCAGGCGCGGTGGCTCAAGCCTGTAATCCCAGCACTTTGGGAGGCTGAGGTGAGCAGATCACGAGGTCAAGAGATCAAGACCATCCTGGCCAACATGGTGAAACCCCGTCTTTACTAAAAATACAAAAATTAGCTGGGCGCAGGAGAATCGCTTGAACCCGGGAGATGGAGGTTCCAGAGAGCCAAGCTCACACCACTGCACTCCAGCCTGGGCGACAGAGCGAGACTCCGTCTCAAAAAAAAAGAAGTTATTTTGGATACTCTGTCATGGGGGTGGGGGAGAATCTAGAGGTCTTTAGGGTTGCCTGGTGGTCTGTAGAAAATATATATGAACTGTTCTTCACTATATTTACTTTTTTGCCAAAGTTATCCAAGAAATTTTCATTCCCCTTTCTCCTTCCCTTTAAGTGTGTGCCTGAAGAAAAAGAGACTTTTTTTTAAAACTTACATATTAGCACTAGTTGGAGTTTTAGTACCCATTTTAGGAAAATACTTGGTATTCATGGTTATGGGTTTTTGTGTTTTTGGGTTTTTTTGTTTTTTTTTTTTAAATGAATACAATTTGATTCCTGGTTACATATATCTGTTTTCTATAGTTGCTTTTCTGTAAAAGAATTATAAGATTAAATAATACCAGATAAGGGCAATAATTATGTGATTATGTGGTTTTGAGGACCAAGTGTATTACTGAAAAACAATTTAAAATTTCTCTTGTGTAGGCATAGAATCATTAAGGTGCACAAAGAGGGCTGGTTCTCACCCATAATCAATTTAAAATTTTGTATGAGCTATAGTGCTCATCCTTTGGGAGGACTGATTCTGACTGGAAGAACAGTGACACCGCCTTATGTCTTGGAAATACAATTATCTGCTGCTCTAAACTGATAGATAAGGGCCAGAATAAAACTAAGACCTAACTTTTTTTTTTAGTTTAGTTAGTTTTTTGTATGTATATACTGTACCCTGAGAGGTGGTGGTCTGTTGCAGAAAGCTCTGTTTTTACTTTCTCACCCTCATTCACTCACTGGTTTTAAAACAACTGCAAAAAGGTTTGATTGGGTTTTTTTCCTTTTTGATGAAGGAATTTATTTCTTATACATTATCTTCTTGTTTTTTGTTTTTTGTTTTTTTTTTTGAGACAGAGTCTCACTCTGTCACCTAGGCTGGAGTGCAGTGGTGTGTTCTGGGCTCACTGCAACCTCCATTTCTCAAGTTCAAGCGATTCTCGTACCTCAGCCTCCCGAGTAGCTGGGATTACAGGTGCCCGCCACTGCACTCAGCTAATTTTTCTATTTTTAGCAGAGATGGGGTTTCACCATATTGACCAGGCTGGTCTCGAACTCCTGGCCTCAAGTGATCCACCCGCCTCGGCCTCCCAAAGTGCTGAGATTACAGGTGTGAGCCACCATGCCTGGCCAACCTTATCTTTAAGAAGATGGAATCTAGAAGGTGAGATTTCTGTAACTTTTGCTTTGTATTTGGTTCAGTTTCTTGTCTTGTGCATAATCTAATCGGAAACATTTAGTCCTGGGGTTAACAGAATACCTGGAAGGTATATTACCCATTTCATATAAAAATAAATAGAGTATCAATTAGTTAAGTCAGTCATGCACTGGATATTTAACCCAGATGGGTTCATCCAGATGTACTCCCCCACTTTTTAGTAGTGCTCGCTATCTTCAGACTTATTCCGTAGCTCTGCTTTCTGTAGGGGAATTTTCAAATGTCCTCTTAGCTGTAAACTGTGCATGCATGTGTATGGGTATGTTCATGCCTGATTCATATAATCACCAAATGCTGGTTTGGTCCTGAAAACATCATTTCAGTAGCTTACAGAGTTCTGAACAAACCAGACACCGCTTCTTAGAATAAACATTCTCATCTTTAAAACACAGTCACATTTTATGGAGACTAGAATGGCCTGGACATATTTGAAGATTTCATAAAAGGAATTAGTAAACATCTGTAGATTTATCCCATGAATCAGCTAGTTAGCCTTTTCTTGATTAGTTAGGAGATAACCATGCCCTTCCCTTCAGTGAATTATCAATTCTCCAGGTTAGGAATTGAACCTTACAATGACAAACATTTTCGTACTACTTCTAAAAATTTATAAGATTTACCTGATGAAGTTGGGTTTCCTGTCTGCAGAAACATTCTGTAGAATCTTTTGGTTCTGTTATTATGCTTTGAGGAAACTGATTTGTAATGATCTCAGGAGCACTTTTCTTAAGAGATTTAGACACTGGTTCTGCAAACAGAGTACAGAACATTACCACTAGAAAGGCACTTGTGAGAATGAGAGATGCACTCAGTCAAACTTCTATGGATCTAGTTCCCAGTTAATCTTCATTTAGTTTTGTGGAGAACACAGAATTTGCTTGTCAGAGAACTTACTTTGGGCTGCCAAATTAAGGCAGGGAATATCTTAATTTTGATTTTCATATTTGACTGAAAATGACCAAATATGTAACATTTCTATAGTGTTTAACTTTTATACTCCCTTAATCTATAACCTTTATCTAAGTCAAGTAAATTTTGGTTTGAGGAAGTGACTTAAGTGTCCTTGCAAATAGTTCCAGTCTTTGATTTTAATTATTTTATAATTCAGTGATTCTTGATTTAAAATAAGTGTTTTCAATTCTTCCATTTATAACTATTGTTTTTTTAAAACTTAGCTTTTTGCATTAGTCTGAAGCAGAATTTACCTGCCCCCAAAAGTCTCCAAGTACCACTGCTTGGTCATTCTGGTCAATATTGGGAAGAGCTCCTTAACATACAATCTGAAATCTAGCTCCAGGTTTTCCAGTAACACCAGTTTAATCTTGGGCAAGTCTCCTAACTTCTGAGTCTGTTTCCTCATCTGTTGGCTTAGACTTACATACTGTAAGGTCTAATGCTCAAATTCAGTGGGTTCAGAATGATACTCTTGTGCGGTTAACCCTTAGCCGTTTAACCTGAAAGGAGAAACGGCTAAGGGTTAACCGCACAAGCATTTTATCTGACTTGCATATATATCCAGACTTGGAAAAGTACACTTTTCAGTTCACTTGAGATAAAAGGTTATAAGGGGAAGAGGAATTCTTGCTATTTGCTAATACTTTATTCAAAATGTATTTGTTGAGCAGGAGCTCAAAAAATAGGAATAATGTACATCTAAGTACATTACTAAGGCACTGTGGTAGACACTGGGAATACTTTACCATACAGGGCAGATGTGGTCCCTGCCCTGGCAGAGAGACTTCATTGGTTCAAGAGCTTAGACTTCTCTATGCCTCCATTTCCTCATCTATAAATTGGGTATAATGATAGTACCTACCTTATAGGATTGTGATTGGGACTAAATATGTTAAATATATGTAAAGTGCTTAGAACAGTGCTTGGATATATGCATGCCCTATGACCTACGCCCTATGACCCTGCCTTTCTCTTCTGGGTATATACTCAACAGAAATGCATACATATGTCCATTGAGAGACATGCAATTTTTCATAAAAGCCCCAATCTGGAAACAACTGAAATGTCCAACAGTGAGATAGATTTGAAAAAGTAATGGGGTGTACGTTTATTTATTTATTAAATATCGAGATGAGGGTTTCACTATATTGCCCAGACTGGTCTTGAACTCCTGGGTTCAAGTGATCCTCTTGCCTTGGCCTCCCAAAGTGTTGGGATTATAGACGTGAGCCACTGCACCTGGCTGGCTTGTATATTTTTATAATGGACTGTTCTACAGCAATAAAAAATAACAGATTACTGTTATGAGTAAAATCATGAGTGAATCTCACAAACAATGTTGAATGAAAGAAAAGTACATGTAGTATAAATCCCAAACTAATCTATGGTGATAGAAGTGAGAATAATGATAATGTTTATGGGGGCTGGAGGATGATTAATGACTGGGAGGCTTTTAAGGTGCTAGTTAGTTTTATGTCCTGAATGGTGGGTTTGGTGTGTTTACTTTGTAAAATTTTGTTTTACTCTTCAATTTTTTGTGTTAACTAAAAAACAATTTCATAAATCATAAATCTATAAGACATTAAAGCTGGATTATTTTAGAGATCCAGAGAGATGCAGTGATTTGCTCTGTGTTGAGGAATTAGGGTCAAAGAGAGACTGGAACTCAGGTTTTCTTATTAGTCTTGTGTGCATTTTCTTCTACATGCTATATTGCATTATATTTTCTTTTCTGATATCTGTGGTGGGTCATTTTGGAATTACAGCTCCCATTATTAGGTTGGCTTCTGAGTTTGACTTACTTTCAGACTTATTAAAATGTTGTATTGATTATTGACTACCTTTGAAGAACTGTGGATTTTTTTCTTTTTACATCTGATAACAATAATCGTAACAATCACTGTAAAGTACAATTTAAAGGACCATGATAACCAAATAGTTATCTAACTCCGGGCAAGTTTTTGTTTACTTATGGTGTTACTCTCACTCTTTTTTCTTTCTTCTTCTTTTAAAATATAAAATCTAGCTCCTGCAGAAACTTTCACTCAATGAGCTATGAAAGAAATTATTTCTCAGCATTCTCTGCTCTAATACAGTTCATAAACAATATGTTTAGTCTAATTTATCAAGGACAGGAATAAATATCTCTGTTATCAGGAAAAAGCAACAAGTTTTTTCACTGTGTGGAAGAATTTGGCATTTCTCTGGCTCTTACCATCTTCATGTGCTTTTCTCTTGAAGCTCAAAGTTCCTTGGCTTTTGTTATGACCTTCAAATAATTCTTAAATAAAAACACAGGAAAACAATCATTATATGACATCATTTGAAACACATTAGTTTTCAAGTATTCAAGTATACTAAAATAAGAACACTTAAGCAGTTGGACAAATAATGAGTTAAGAATTAGGAATATTTTGGTATAAGGTTTAGAAAAAAGTTAAAACTCTTGGCTTAAATTAGGTACCTATTTCTAATGATTTTAAAGGGTCATTTGAGTATACGATAGTGTTAGGATTTTATTTTTAGAGTTTTTCTCTTGCTGAATGAAAGTGCAAAGAAGAATGTCTAGAATTTTTTTTTTTGGTAATATCAATTCGAAGGTTACCATGTTTCCATTTGGCAGTTCTGAGAGTTGGTTTTCTTAGGATGCAGTCAACTTCTTCATAAAATCATTTTTCTGGCCAGGCGCGGTGGCTCACGCCTGTAATCCCCCAGCACTTTGGGAGGCCCAGACGGGTGGATCACGAGGTCAGGAGATCAAGACCATCCTGGCTAACACGGTGAAACCCTGTCTCTACTAAAAATACAAAAAAACTAGCCGGGTGAGGTGGCAGGCGCCTGTAGTCCCAGCTACTTGGGAGGCTGAGGCAGGAGAATGGCATGAACCCGAGGGCGGAGCTTGCAGTGAGCCGAGATTGCACCACTGAACTCCAGCCTGGGTGACAGAGCAAGACTCCATCTCAAAAAAAAAAAAAAAAAAAATCTCATTTTTCTTGGAGGGTTGCCATTTTTTCTTTGTAAAATGCTATATTCATATTTTAACTTTTTGTATTTGGTACGACATTGTTTCCAGTCTCTGTCTATCCCAAATTGCATTAATCTTCTGACAATTTTCTCAAATATTTTCTTGTTTCTTGTGACCCCTTCAAGCATTCACTTAATTTTTTCATCAGACCATATTTGTATCAATGCTCTGACCTCACTGTCACACCGGTATTTCAGCCTCTGTGTCACTCACTGTTACAATCTGTAAATGACTTTTAGCATCTTCTAAAGGATTACCTACAAATCAACATGATTTATAATTATTCAAACATAGATAAGTCTTGTATTTGATTATCATTCACTTAAAGCAACTGTGATGGCATAAAGCACCAAGAATACAATAATAACTTCAATATGAGTCAAAAGAAATTTTGTGTCCATATTCGAACAGTATATTCTAAAAATTATAAAACAGACTGTTCTCCATTATTAGTGAGAATAATTTAGCTGCTTTTCATCATAGGTGATCTTCATTGGATATTTATGAATATGGAAATTCCCAATGTTTACTTAATTTATTTTAGTGAGAAGTGGGCATTGACATTTTCCTTCTTTCTCTACCATGTTCTCTACCAACTCAAGTATGTGGAAGCATTTTAGGTAATACACAATAGAGATATTCTCTATTAGACTTCGTATATATCAAAATGACGTTTAAAATTTACCAATTTAGACCCTGCAGTGGACCCAGTGTTATTTTGGGGTAGTGATGTGCAGCGGGGGGTGGCAGGGGGAGGGCATACTCCACGGTGCTTTCCAACAGTGAGTTCTTCTCATCTTCAATTCTCTTAGGTTTTAATCCTGAATACTTTTTCAGCCTTATGAATTTTTTTTTTTTTTTTTTTTTTTTTTTTTTAAGAGACAGGCTCTCATTATGTTGCTGAGGCTGCTGTGGACCTCCTGGGCTTAAGTGATCCTCCTGCCTCAGCCTCCCAATTAGCTGGGACTACAGGTGCACACCACCATGCCTAGTGCCTCATGGAAATTTGAAAATGTGTTTAAATCACTCTTGTTGGATATAATTTTTAAAAGATGGTGATAGAAATGTAAAATGATGAAGTCATGGTGGGAAACAGGTAGTTCCTCAAACTTTCAGCGTATGCCTTATGACCAAGCAATTCCACTCCTACGTATAAACCCAGAAGAATTGAAAACATGTTCACATAAAAACATGTATCTACTGTGGAAAAACAGTATGGCAGGTCCTAAAAAAATTAAGGATAAATTACCATATGATCAGCAATTTCACTTCTGGGTATATACCCAAAAGAATTGAAAGCAGGGACTCAAGCAGATATTTATGCATCCACATTCATAGCAGTGTTAATTGATAATAGCCTAAAGGCAGAAACAACCCAGATGACCATCGATGGATTAATAAACAAAATGGTGTATCCATACAATGCAATATTAAAATGAAGGAAATTCTGATAAATGCTACAACTTGAAGGAGCCCTGAAGATATTATAAGTGAAATAAGCCAGGCACAAATGGACGAATATTGTATGATTCCACTTACATGAGGTACCTAGAATAGTCAAATTCACAAAGATGGAAAGGAGAATAGTGGTCACCAGAGGCTAAGAAGAGTTGGGATGGAGGAGTTATTGTTTAATAGCTACAGAAGTTTCAGTTTTGAATGATGAAAAAGTTCAGGAGATGGAGAATGGTGATGTTTGTGCAACAATGTGAATGTACTTATGGGTATAATGGTAAATTTTATGTATACTTTACCAAAATGGGAAAAAAATTGTACCAGGATATTCATAGCAACAGTGTTCATAGGAGCCAGAAAATGGCAGTGACCCAAATATCTGTCATGTGATGGATGGGAAAACAAAATATGGTATATCCGTAAATTGGAATATTATTCAGCCATTAAAAGGAATGAAATACTGATATATGCTACAACATGGATGAACCATGAAACAAAAGAAACCAGACACAAAAATGTATATTGGAGGGTACCACTGATGTCCAGAACAGGCAAATCCATAGAAACAGAAAGTAGGTTAGTGGTTGCCAGGGGTTACAGAGGTGTGGTCAAGCAGTTAAACTACTAATGGATATGGGATTTCTTTTTTTTTTTTTTTTTTCCGAGATAGAGTCTTGCTCCGTCACCCAGGCTGCAGTGCAGTGGCGTGACCTCGGCTCACTGCAACCTCTGCCTCCCGGGTTCAAGGGATTCTCCTGCCTCAGCCTCCTGAGTAGCTGAGACTATAGGCGTGCACCACCACGCCCAGCTAATTTTTGTATTTTTAGTAGAGTTGGGGTTTCACCATGTTGGCCAGGATGGTCTTGATCTCTTGACCTCATGATTTGCCCGCTTTGGCCTCCCAAAGTGCTAGGATTACAAGCATGAGCCACTGCACCCCACAGATACGGGGTTTCTTTGTGGGATGATCAAAATGTTCTAAAATGGGATACTGGTGATTATTGTATAACTGTGGATATACTAAAAACCACAGTTATGTGCTTTAATTGGGTGAATTTGATTGTATGTAAATTACATCTCAAAAAAGAAAAGTTGCTGAGGTTTGAGAATAGAAAAGTAAAGACAGGTCAAGTGTAGAGGTTAATGCAGTGATGTCTGTGGGAAGTTATAAAGGAACTAAGGAAACATGAACTGCATTGTACTGAGCTTCCAAATCTTCTGAGCCCGAGTTTTTATGATGTGATTGATTAAGTCATTGGCTACAAGATTGAACTCAACCTCTAGCCCCACTCTCCTCCCTGGAAGTCACACTGGCACAAAGCTCCAACCCTCATCACATGGGTGTCTTTTTCGGTGACTACCTGCCATCCTGAAGCTATCTGGGAACCCACCTAGAGTAGCCTCATTAACATAACATAGATGCTTCTGTCTCTGGAAATTCCAAAGGCTGTTGATGCTTTGTGCCAGGAACAGGAGACCAAAACTAGATATATTTTTTATTATGCCACAGCTTCTTAAAAGTTTATTAAAATATTACCAACAGTACAAATTAGAAAAATAATACCTTCATAATTAACAAGTTGCCTGTATTTAAGATTAGCAGCATACCTATGTCTGAACTTTCTTTTTTCACATTTATAAGTCTTGGGTTTTCTGAACTTTTAGTAATCAGTTCTTCTCTATCTGGATGTACTATTGGATTAAAATGAAAAGTTCTCAGTAATATCGTGTCTCATCTGACTAAAGTGCATTAATTTATGTAACAATGTTACTGCTAAGATTATACAAATTATAATGCATGTAAAATATACAAAAGTGTTTAAATATTCCAGGTTTAAGAAAAATTACTTCCAATTTCTTTCTTTTGGGAGAGATAAATGAATTAGAAGAAAACATAATTCTTAGCAAACCCTTTGAGATGGTAACAATAGATTCCTTAATGCCCCCTGCTGGCCATCTCCTTGTGAATTTTTTTGAATTTTGGAAATATGTTTTGCTACAACCAAAAGAAAAATGGGCATTTCTAGGGTTATTCTTAGATGAACATTGAGGTATTTCACTTGTGATTTTTAGGCTGAAGATCAGCGTGACCTTATCTAATAGGATATATTTTACTACCATGGAGTTTCTATGCTTATTTAAATATGCCTGACTCCACCCCCTCTGACCTAAAATAGGTTTAACTGTGACTGTCCTATATGAGAAAGCAGTGGCTTTCGGGAATACATAGATAGTAAGGCATTCCAGCTTATATAAATGGCAGCTGATATTGGACCTGAATTAAGTCAATTTTGTCCTACTCAGAGGAGACAGGTAGGTGATAAGATTGTCAAACACAAATTTTCTCTTTTGGCAGAGTCCTTTCTCCTTTGATAACGTCTTGATTCCTTTTATCCTCTCTCGCTTATGCTTCAGACCAGGGAGAAAAATAAAATATGTTTTAGATCCAGAGATCTAGTTAATTCAATTTTCACGGACCACTTCTTTTTACTTAATGTAATAGGGATAGCCTGAGCAGTCTATGATTCTTCTCTGTGATTAATTTCCTTCGTATTCCATTAGTCATTAATTTTTAAGTGATAATCTATTGGCATTAGCGGATTTTTCTTCCCTGAATGGAATCAAATTGAAACTTCTGTGTGAATCAGTCCTCTGCTGGTCTGAGCATGATAACCTAGCTATGGTTTCCAGTGCTGGCTATGCTTGAGAATCATCTAAAAATACGGGTGCCTGAACTGACTCCAACCTACTAGATCAAAATCTTCAGAAGTTCCAAATAGGGAACTGATCTAGATACTCAG